TTTTGTTTCTTTGCAATGATTATAATCCCCTCCATGTGGCATAGGTTAACATAATTTACTTCTGTTCCCTCTTTTTTGGTGTTTTGTTTTTTTGTTTGTTTGTTTGTTTTTAATGTTCACAAAAACAGACATGAATATGTAATTGTTTAAACAACTGAAGGGCACATTTTGGAAATCAGCCTCCTGCCCGCCAACACACAGCCTTTCTTTTTCCATGAGTCTAGAGTCCTCAGCTGCTCTCTCTCCACTGGCATTGTGTCTTGACATCAGTCTTTCCCTGGGTCTAAGAGGTTTTCAGCACAGGGACCCCAAGTCGAAAGGATGTGCTCAGTTTCCAGCTCTTCTTTCTTGGTTGTAGTCAGGTCCATCTTTCTCTGCACTCTTCTTTCCTTTTATCTCAGGCATACTCCAGGGAAACACTCCTTACAGCGCTGTGATCAGAGTTAAGGGTGTTGTATCCTACATTAATCCCTTATACATGATTGGGTTGAGCACATAAGATCCCATGTAATGAAACTCATGGTCCAATCAGGTTGACTCATATTTTGGGGGTACACAATTCAGTCCATGACAGGAACCAAAATAAAAGCTTTTTGCTTTGTTGGAAAAAAACTTTTATTATTAAGAACCTTTTAGTATTAAAAATTAAGGCATGTGTTTTTTTAAGTTCAGAGTCACTGGTTTATTGAGTATCTCCCATGTTTCTGGGATAACCAGAGGCCAACTCACTACTCTCACCTGCTGTTTAGGCTTTTACACTTTAGTCAGAGTTCATAGGCTATTTTATGTGCTATAATTACCAACTGTTGTATGCAGTGCAGGGGTTCTGGTGTGGTACTGTAAAATGAGCACTGGACTGCTAACCTCCAGGTCAGTGACTCAAACCCACCAGCAGCTCCACGGAAACCCTATTCAAAGTTGCTATGAGTCAGAACCTACTTGATGGCACTTTACAACAACCTATGCAATGCACCTTAAAAGGAAGGATTTTTCCCCCCAACATTTACTTTACAAATTCATTGTAGAATTGAGGTATAGCCTAACTATCTATATTTAGTTTCTGTGGCTATAAAAAAGAATTTGAATGTTAGACCTAAGGAAATATCAGAAACAAATGCTAATTTATTCCAGAAATAAGTATGACTATTTGATATATTTGAATAAGTGAATTAGTAATGTGAGCTCAATTATTTCACATTTTCAAACTAAAGTATTTTTTTTAATGGATGGAAAAGTGCCAGCTTATTTTAGAAGCATTGTAAACTTGTTTAAATGACTTGCTCTCGTCCTCTGACGTGGAACTTGGATCCTGTCAGGGCAGGCTTTTTTGTGGGCGTATTAATTCACATTCCACCTGTCAGTGTACCTATAGGTAAAGACATCAAGCCACACCCTCTGTTCTGACCTTTTCCTCAGGGGACACTGACTAGAATCCTTTGGCTCAGCTTATGAGAGCCTCTTTGAATAGCTCACTTCAGAAGGGCTTTCCTTTTGAATTGAGTGAAGCAGCAAGAACCAGGGAAATAACTTTGCAACTGCTTTTCTCAAGACTGCTACTATGGAGATTTAAAACTTAACCTTCCCTGCCAGGTTCTGCTTGAAAGGTTTTTATTAACACAGCCATACCTGATATTGAAAGTTCTTTTATTCCTCAACTAATTTTATACTTTTTATTCTTCTGTTCTTCAAGGATTTAATTAATTATACTAGCTGAAAAAGGGATCTTTTTAATTTGCTTGCTTAGCTGATTTTGATTTGGTTTTTGTGTTTTAATTTTTCTTTGTTTTTTAATTTAATTTTTTTTTTTTTTGGAGATGAAGACTGATGGAGATCTGTTGGGTTTTTTTATTTTTCAATTTATGGGGATTTTTTACTGGTCTTTCCCCTCCCTTTTAGTATTCAATTATATGGATTAATTTTGTAATATTTATTTGATAGTGCTTAAAAGAATTTTCATACTATTATGAAAAATGTTTCTTGACAAACTAAGAAGAACTTTTTAAATGTAGTGAAAAACGGATAAAGCAAATGAGAAAGATTGGCAGCTACATCTTCTAGAATGGATTCTTACAGGAGTTATTTAGCAACTGTCCGACTGAATGGCTCATGGTTGGAAGAACAAGATGAAGACATTTATGAGGTTGAATCTCGTGTCCCTTTACCAAATCCTTTTCCTTTCTGTGAACATTTGGATGAAAATAACTCTGTAATTGTTAATACTTCTATTTTTCATTTTATTCATAAAAGAAATGGGCACATGTTAAAGCTTATTTCTAGAATTTCACTGCCTACTCCTCCTTACTCAGTAAGTATGAAAAAAATGTTTAGTTAAAAGCCTCTGTATGCTGAGAAGTGATATTTTAAGTGTCTTTAGTAAGGGTGGATGCAGTAGAACCTTGTTTTGTTGTTGTTTGGCATGCTGCTCAGCATTCATCATGGATATGTTGAAGGGCTAAATTTGGTTTAAGAGCCCCAACTTGGCTAGGTTTTTAATTCAAGAAAGCAGAATGAGATAATATTACCACTCTTCAATGCCAGGAGAGCTGTTTTAAAAGATCCTGCTTGTCTTTGAGACTCCTGAGTGAAAACAGAGTGATAATATTTGAGAGAATAGACGTTGTAATGTCTGAAACAGCTAAGTGCCTGGCTGTTGAGTCAGTTAGGTCGTGTTTACAGTCCGATGGCATAGACTGATTACAGCACCAAACAAGAAATCTACCTCCTGATCCTGTGAGGAAATACATAAAGTGGATTTTGTAAACATTGTTAAGAATAGCTGTTTTAGCGTAAAAAGACTGCGTATTTAATATTTCACTGTCAGCATATGTTGTGAATGATTCACTGTGAGTTACTCAGTATAACTACAAGTTATTCAGCACTTCTTGTGACTTTCAGGACTATAATATGCTAGCTAATATTTAACAAACCAGATAGTTTTCAGAAGTTAGTTTTATTGCTTCTCCTGAAACTTTTATATTAAAGTGACAATATATTTACGTAAGCTTTACACATACTTACATGTCTCACAATATTGTGCATAGTGGAGATAGATTGTACCCTAACTATAAATCTTGTTTGTTCTTGTTGTTAAGCAGCTTTTAGTTGGTTCCAACTCCTAATGAACCCTGTACAGGGTTTCCAAAGCTTTTAAATCCTCATCTTTCTCCCATGGAGCGACTGGCGGGCTTGGACCATGCTTTTTGAATGGCATGCCTCTTTCTTGTTTAGGCGTTACCAAAGACTAGACTATAGACGCAAAGAGTTGACTATAGAAGCAAAGAGTTATTTAATTTTCTTATCTAAAGCAAACATTTTATTTTGTTGGTTTCTATAGTAAATTTGAAAAAGAAACAATATTCCTATTGTTTTGGGGCATAGCTATGAACTCTTAGAAGTTGTATGTTTTTATCAAGAAACTATTATATATGTAATTAATAGGGAAAACATTACATGATATGTATGTAGAAGTAGTTGATATATATTTTTAAATGTGGGTTGTTGCTATAAAATCAGGAGAGTACTGGACAAATTTGTTTATTACTTTATGGTCATATTTCTTTATAATAAAAAACATGCTTATATTAGTTACGCTTATTTAAAGGTAAAATATCCATTGCAACTCAAAGGTAAAAATATTTTTGAGGTAACAATTTATTACACATATTTTCAGAAATATTTTATAATTTAAAATTAATACTTAATGTTTTATTAGGAATCTTAAGTATGTGTTCATATTGTTTTCAAATAATAAAATATAAATTATATTTAAAGCATCTTACTAAAGTATGAACTTGCATACTGCATGTTTTGGGATTTCTTTAGAGTAGCCATAAAAAGCTTTAGTAAACTACTCTAAAATCCATTGTCTATGGTAAATACCATTCAGATGGGATGAGCAGAGAAACTATCAAATATCATAATTTCATAACATATTATTGCTGTCCAACAATAAATTAGAAACCACTCTACATTTGATTCATATTTTAAGTTTAAAGATCATGTTTCTAATACATAAACTTTGTAATTTTTAAAATTCTTACAACATTGTTGAGTCTGTTACTGCTTTTTAATATTTATTGAATAGTATTAATGATCTAAAACTAAGTACTAGAAACATTTGAACTCAGATTTTTTTCCCATGTAGTTGCTTTATAAAGACAGATCAGCAGATAGTAACAGTCACAAGCCTGGAAAACTAAGGTAGGGTCACTGCTTTTCTGTAACATCATGCAGTGGATTCAGTAACAGTGATCCAGTTATCTCCTAATGGAGAGCTTTAATCCTAAGTCTTACTTTGTCACCTTAGAACTTACTTAACAATGAGGTTGATACGTACCTAATGCAGTATTTTTAAAGAGACTGTTGTGATTAATACCTTATATCTAAGATTTTAAAAATAAACAAGATTCATATAGCGTCCTATAGATGTTTTGCAAAGGGACAGAAATATTAAAGCTTTTAATTAAAATACATGGCTATAAATCAATTTTCTTTTTGTTGTACCACTATGATTTTGTATCATTGATGCCATCGTATTCATCATATATCATTAGTCGTCTACGGTGTCGATACAGAAGACACTCTAGCAGTCACAAGCAACAGAATATTTAACACAAAGGAAATAGAACTCATCATGCAAGCACACAGTTACATAAGTTTTTAACAAATACCATATAAAGCCTGTGCTTCACTAACTTTGTGTGTTTCTTTATCAGATAGAATGCACATCCAGAGATTTGATATGGTTTCTTTCCAAAAGAATCCTTTTCTTTTGCTCAGTAAAACCAGAATGCACCACTTACAGAAAGCTGTCCACAGCTAATCAGCTTTTCTACTATTATTTCTTCTACTGCCAAACATTTAACATTTGCTAAATATTTAACTAACGTGAATGTTTAAGTGACTGCAATTCAAGAATCTTTATTTTGATTGGGGAATGATGCTGGTCTTCCCAATGATTTAATTATCTTCCTTTTTACATCCTTTTTCTCCTTGTTTAGCTCGAACATGCAAAAGTGACGCAGACAGAATTGATGCGTGAGTCGTTTAGACAGAAACAAGAGGCAACAGAGTCCCTGAGGTGCCAAGAAGAGCTGCGGGAACGCCTTCATGAAGAGTCGAGGGCCAGGGAGCAGCTGGCTGTGGAGCTCAGTAAGGCTGAGGGTAAGTACCTTGTTGTTGGCAACTGAGACGGGAAACATTTCAAATCTAAAAATAGAGATCTTGATGCACAGCCAGGTTTAGAAACCACTAGTCTAATTTAAGGTGACCTCTGAAGAGTAGTTGCAGCTAATCTTCAAAGTGCCTCCAAGTACATTTTTAAACTGTATGTGTAAACATTTAATAGAATGACAGAAAATAGTAAAAATTTTAGAAATACAGAAATGAATAATGATGAGCTATTACCATAATCCTGTCATCCTTAAACAACTCTTATAACTTAAGAGTATGGAGACTGAATCTAAGCGATGTTAAGAAACATGGTTCAAGCTCACATTAAATGGTGAAACCTGAATTTCAGCCTGTTAAAGGCCTATGCTTTCTTTGTCTCACGGTGCTGTGGAGGGGAATTGGCCTTCCAGAATTACTGTGAAAATACCAACCTTCTCTGGAGGGGGATTGGCCTTCCAGAATTACTGAAAATATCAACCTTCTCTAGCAGATTTAAAATAGGAATCACTTCACAAGCATCTGATTTATATTTGGCTTTCCAAGAAAATATCTAGTTATATCTATTTAATATAAAGTAAGTTACATGAAGTGGTACTTTAGCATAGTAAAATAATACAAAGTTCATAGAAATTTCATATTTAGTCACAGTGATTAACAAGAAAAAGGCGATATGGAATGTCCCATAAAAAGTTAATAGTTCCTTACAAATGACCTTCAAAGGTGCAACAAATGATTCTCCATTCGACTAATGGAGCAACGAAGAAAAGAAGCTAAGGAACCAACCAAAATATCCTATGCTTCAACAGTAGGTACCCCATAAGCACCTATGAGACCTGAAGAAAACTAGTTGGTGTCCAGTCAGTACTCAGTTGCTCAGAAGATAGAATTGAATTGTGATCAAGAGAAGAGAGATGTCAAAGAAAGAAATTAATAACACATATCTTACTTTCATTTTAAGGGCTTCCCTTACCCACAAAACCAAGTATTGGCTGGAAAAATTCTTGAACCAAAATTAATCCTGCCAATGGCTTTTTTCATCCAAAATTATTAATAATTTCTTCCCTGTCCATCATATTCATCATAAGCCAATCTTACTTAATTTAAATTTCAGAAGGTGTCGTGGCTGACTGAGGTGGTGGTAGGACAGAAACCACCTTGAGAGCTGATATCAATTGATCCCAATAAAAGTGAAGAGGACAGAGTTCAGTCAGTCATATGAAGAAGATTAGAAATTGGTTGATTTTTTTTCAATTTTTATTCTTATCCTTCCTCCCCTCTTTATAAGCTTCATTATAAAGAACCTACTTCAAGTTACTTGCTTTTTATTGAATCAGAATAGTCTCACTATATTCATGTAGAATAACTGCTCAGAATAATCCTATGTTGTTGTTTTTTTAAGTTAATAGTTGCTTGTATTGTCAGCAGTAGAATTATTTAAGCTTTATAATAGGTTAGAATAACTTAAAAATTTGCTAACAGTACCTGTTGTTGTTTATATTAAAATCTAATGGTAAAATGTGGAATGAGTTATAATGTAGTTCCCTGTTAATCTTACTTTGTAGGTGTTATTGATGGCTATGCAGATGAGAGAACTGTTTTTGAAAGACAAATTCAGGAGAAATCTGATATGATAGATCGTCTTGAGCAGGAGTTGTTATGTGCAGGTAATAGATTACAGGAATTGGAAGCAGAGCAGCAGCAGATCCAAGAAGAAAGAGAGTTACTGTCCAGACAGAAGGAGGCTATGAAAGCAGAGGCAGGCCCAGTGGAACAGCGTATGTATTTTTCGGACTGTATATGGAATATTCTTCCAGTTTCTATTTATGTTCTGTGAAAATTCAAATTGGCTTTTTCCCCTTGGTCAGTGCCCTATCATGTGGTTTACATACAAACCAAACCAAACCCCCATTACCATTGAGTCAGTTCCTCCTCATAGCCGCCTAGGACACAGTAAAAGTGCCCCCATAGGATTTCCAAGACTAAATCTACACGGAAACAGACTTCCACCTTTTTATCCTGTGGAGCAGCTGGTGGGTTCAAACCACTGACCTTTCACTTAGCAGTCAAGCACTCTGATCACTGTGTTTTATATAAGGTCTTGAAAAACTGAAAAGAAAATCTAATTTCTAGACCCGGGGCAGGGAACCTTTTTTCTGCCAAAATTTATAGCATCATTCACGGGCCATACAAAATTATCAACTTAGAAATTAGCCTGCTGTATTTGGTCAGACAGTTAACTCACCCCTAGTATGATGGCTGGAACTGTCAAACCAAATTATTCCAGCCCACAGGCCAGACGTTCCCCACCGCTATTCTAGACTAATGTGGAATCAGGACTTATTTTTATCCTTTTTCTTTTTTCTTTGGTACATGTTAGCCAGAAAAGGCCATTCTTCATTTATCCGCACATCTCTGCCTAAAGAGAAAGCTGGAAATAATGAGGCAGGTTATTTTGAAAATGTGTAAGGTTTGATTCTTTCAATAGCAGAGAGGCAGCAGAAATATATATACTTCGATTAACTAACTTAGAAGTAAGCAGGTGGAGGTAGAGTTCCCCTGCAAGCTGAAGAGACTGAAAAGGCTGCTAGAAGTCTTTCAGTATTTAAATGTATACACTACCTTTAGTCTTTCTTAAATGAGAAATCAGGTGACACCTTAAAGGTAAAGTTTGTTTGTTGTTGTTAAATGCTATCAAATCAGTTTCGATTTATAGCAGCCCTGTATGAGGTTCCTGAGGAGTGGCTACTGGGTTTGAACCACTGACCTAGCGATTAGCAGTCCAGTGCTTATTCTACAGCACCACAAAAATAAATATTAGTCTTTGCAATGATAGAACTTTAAAACCTTTTTTTTTTTTTTTTCAATGTTCTCTCAACTTTATATTGGAGTCCTGGTGTGGTGCTGTGGGTTAATGAGCCAGACTGCAAAGCCATTTGGAATGCAAGGTCAGCAGTTCAAGCTCACCAGTCATTCCTCTGAAACCCTATACAAGGTCACTATGGGTCGGAACCGACTCTGTGGCACTTAACAACAACTTTATATTACATGATGCAGTTGAATTATGAATCTGTAACTTCACTAATTTTAATTCGTCTATTTAGGATATTGTATTTTTCAAATATTGTGAAGTTGTTTCCGATTGTTCAAATAAATTCAATATAGGTTTAAGCTTGGCGTTTTTAATGTGCAAAGAAATACATGTAAATATCCGAGAAATGTTGGGACTTCTTAGAATGTTGCCAGTGATGATTATCAACTTCAACTTTTGCTTCTGATTCTTTTTTGTGTGCATTACTCTGTCTGGAAAGTAGAAAGCATCTCAATTACCATATGTTTGTTGTCTTTTTGTTGTTTTTTTCTTTCCTGTTCTCTTAGGACTGGTAGATGCTGCAGTTGGTGCAGCACCGGGAGCAGGTGTGTTTATGTAATTGCATGGCCAGCCTTTGGGTGGTAGACTCACACCTCGAAACACTGGGGGACCCTGGGATTTTCAGACGACTAACATGCCTCTAATTTCGCAGTTCTGCTGTTGTGATTCATACTTACAGTTTTTCTCTTTAACAAAAACCTTTCTTGCAATAAAAATACATTTACTTGAAATGACCAACTTAGATTCATAGTGACCATCATCTTATATCTGTTTTTACACAGAGCTTAAGACTATATCAAAAATTTTAAGATATATTGATTTTTTAGAACTTTTTGTTATTAGCAATATATAAAACTCTTGTAATCAGTGACTTTTCGGATGGTTTCTAAATCCAGAAGTATATATAAGATGATGATATCAAATGGATCAGTGAAATCTGATAAGAGGCTTTCTGGTTGATTTACTTTTTATTTTAACCTCTAATAGCAGTTTTGTTTTAAAATGAAAGCTGTTTTCTATGGTTTTCTATAGAACTATACTCACTTTGAATTCAGGTAATATAAAGACTCTTGGACACATTCCTTTTATCTTCTTCAATAGATAATTGTTTTACTTCTGCTATGTGTACTTAGTTATTATGTTAATGTTCTTAATAATAATAACTTACACTTAAGTAGTGCTTACCACACCCTAAGAACTATTCTTTACATATATTAACTCGTTTGAACATACATTAACTGCAAGAAATCAGTACTATTATTATCTCATAAAAGTAAACCAAGGATAGCCTGTTAAGTATCACATAGGAGATCAGTGACAGAGCCAAGATTTGGATGCACAGTCTCTGCCTGTAAGCAGCACACCACACTGCCTCTCATACTTGTTGGTTTTCCTTTGCTTATGTATGTAAGCATGCAAGAGCAACTCAGGAATATGGACCTAATAAGGAGTAGACTAATGAAGAATTCTGACTGTGGATGTGTTTCTGCAACTCTAATTAAGGCCTTGGTTAAAGATTTTATAGTATTAGATCTGCATATTAATTGTGGATGCGTATATAAGTGACTGTGTGTGTTTGGAATGAATTGATTTTTGTAAATAAAATGGTGAGTTATTCCTGTTCTCGGGCCCAATTGCATTTTGTTATTTCCTTCATAGTGAAAACATTTGTCATTTGCTGTGCTGTTTTCACACACAAAAAAAAATACTTTTTAGTGACAGATTGTAGTCTTACTTTGTAAATTTTTTATAACTTTATTGTTTGTTTACTTATGTAGAAATACATTAAGGTATATATGGTATTTTCATAAATGAATATTCACCTTGTTTTTGTATATCTTTGAATTGAAAACCCAGATCTCTTATATCATAAAGAAAAAAGTTGAACAGTTATAGTTGATTTCACTATAATAATGTCATTTATTATGTTTTAACATAGTATACTTTTACATTTGTAAACAGAATTATTACAGGAAACAGAAAAGCTAATGAAGGAAAAACTAGAAGTACAGTGTCAAGCTGAAAAAGTACGTGATGACCTTCAAAAACAAGTGAAGGCTCTAGAAATCGATGTCGAGGAACAAGTCAGTAGGTTTATAGAGCTGGAACAAGAAAAAAATGCTGAATTAATGGACTTAGGACAGCAAAATCAAGCACTGGAAAAGCAGTTAGAAAAAATGAGAAAATTTTTGGATGTAAGTATTCTCAATTTAAATATTTATTTTCCCAGTGTGTGCAACTACTAGAGTTCAAAGCCATGTAGCCAAGTTATGAATTGTTAAGTGTCGTCGAGTGAGTTCAAACCAACTTCATAGTCAAGTGCTTATCCTACAGAGCCACACCAGAAATAGATCCTTCCAAATTGTCTTTCCAAATTCAGAGTTTAAGAAGCTCATTGTAGAATTTCTTTTAACCTATGAATCAAAACAAGCATAGGTTAACAGACCTGATTGTCTACCACTGCTGGACCCTCAGCGGATGTACACACAGGCTCCAGTGTGCCTTGGAAATGGGGTGAGGACAGCTGTCATGCTGTTGTTACTCCTTTCCAAAAACAATTTCACACGGATTGGCTTTTGTAGAATTTTATTGACGGCTGATGTACATGGTACAGGTCAGAGAATGAGAGTCTTACATTTTATAGTCTTAGGTATAAAACCTAGATTAGGAAGAAAGATACTGGTTTATCAAACAACTTGGTGTATGTTTTTTATTGTTCCAAAAAAGTAAGTGCATTTTAAGGAGAATACTTTTTAAATTTCTATATTTCCCATTATTTGAATGAAGAAACACTGCTGTGCTTCAAAGAATACCTAAATAAAGCTTCTGTTTTTCTTTACAAGCCAAGGTAGGCTATGAACCCTGTAGTAATGCTAATAAACCTTCTAAACCTCTGTGACTTGGGTATTCTGTCAGGTCCTTTGCCTTCTTATAAAGCTATATTTATAATTAAAGGGAAGTATGGGGAGAAAGCTTCAGTAAATATTGGTTCTTCAGTTACTGCTATTATGTTTGAACTTCAGGAGCAAGCTATTGATCGAGAACATGAGAGAGATGTATTCCAACAGGAAATACAGAAACTAGAACAGCAGCTTAAGGTTGTACCTCGCTTTCAGCCTATTAGTGAACACCAAACTAGAGAGGTAAGAACCTTGTTGAGATTGCTTTATTTGTATCTCTGATATAAAATATGGTATGTGTAATGAAATTTTTTTAATGAATTATTTCTGTTGTGACCCACTCCTCACATACAGGCCTGGTTAGGTTCCAAGACCAGGTCATCATGCAGAAATTAGCATTATGAGAAAATGAAGGCTGACAGTATCGGCGCACAGAATAACTGTATCATTACATAACTGTCAAACTGCTGAGCATCACAGCCCAGCCAAGTTAATATATAACTATAACCATCACAGACAGTGTTGTTCTCCCCTGCACCTTGACAGTCATTACTGCCAGATGTACATAGTTAATGCACAAAAGAGTTGGATAGTACATTTTTTTACTATTGTCATAAAAGTGAAATAACGATAAGTGAGGAGTTGTTGTTATATGCCATTGAGTTGGTTCCAACCCATAGCGACCCTACATACAGTTTCCAAGGAGCGGCTGGTGAGCTTAAACTGCCTACCTTGCAATTCAAACAGCTTTGCAGTCTGGCATATTAACCTACAGCACCACACCAGGACATATAAATCTTGAAGTTAGAAAATTAAACATTACGTCAACATGAAAAGATTCTTGACACCCTAAAAAGTCATGTTTGTATTGAAATTTGAAATATAAATTCCTACAGAATCATTCCCACTTTCTAGAAACGCTTCCTTCTCTTGGCATCTGTGACGGCTTACATCAGTATCTCCCCTCTAGTCTTCATTTCTCCTCTGTCCAAAATAAAAATGATGCAGGAATCAAAGAATTAATCTTAGGCCTCCTGTTCTACTGTGTCAGTATTTCCTTCTTAGGTGATCACCTGTAAATGACTATACATTTGTTTTTCCAACTCTGACCTCACTGTTGAGCTCCAGACTTGAATACTCACCTGCCTGTTCTCTATATAAAGAGCCCTAGTGGCATTAGTCACTCCACAGGAGAAAACTGTGGCAGTCTGCTTCCATACAATCACAGCCTGGAACCCCAAGGAGGCAGGTCCCCATCCTACAGATGCGCTCGTAGTTTTAGTCCATATTGACTCAACATATGCACTTAATTCACTGTCACAAAGTTGATTCCAACACCTAGTGACCCTATAGGACAGAGTAGAACTACCCCCTAGGGTTTCTGAGATGGTAAATCTGTATGGGAGCAGACAACCTCATCTTTCTACTGAGAAGCAGTTGGTTGTGGCTAGCAGCCCAATGCCTAACACATATATATGCTTAAAGTTCTCAAAATTAACATGTCCAAAAGAAAGCTCTTGAACCTGATGATTCCTCATCCAATAAGGAAAAGAGTAAAATATGTTTCTTCTTCAACCCAGTAAATTCTGTATGATGATGTATGCCACCATTGTTACTAAAATCTTGAATTCGTTCTTATTATACTTTTCATCATCCCCCATTTCTAACCCTTTGGTAGGTCTGGCCAGATTATGTCTTTCCACCGTCAATCATTTCTTAAATATGACCATTCTCCCTCTTTTTTCTTTTTTGTCACCCCATCTGTCAACTTTTCTCATAAAATATAGAAATATAGACAGAGCTCCGTATTTATCATTGATTCTGTATGAGTGAGGGACGATTCCATCTACATGTAACTTGTCATGGTGATAAACAGATGATGCGTGGAGGAAGACAGTACCAATTTGAATCATGGCTCTGCCATTTACTAGGTGACCGTGGCTAAGTCTGCCTCACTAACTCTCTGTTTACTTGTTTCTAGAGATGGTAATAGAACCTGCCTCATAGGCACATTGGCCCGGCACTTAGAGAACCCTTAATAAATGGCTACTGTTTTATTTCTGAAAAGAAAATAAGCAAATAAATTTGTATATGTAATTTTTATGTAGCTTACTGTATTTCATTTCTCTTTAAGTAGTTCCAATGAAGTATATAATGCCTCTACATTTCAGTGCAGCAAAGTACTATGTTATCTCGATCCTTTTGAGTAGAAATAACCTGGCCCAGAATACCACTTTTCAGCAACTAGAGCAATAGTAGCCACTCACAGAATTTATCATTGTTCACCTTACTCATAACAAATATGTTTCACATTTTCCTAAATTAGCAAATATTTGTTGAAACACAACAGAATATTTAAACACTGAAACAGAATCGTTTTCTCTTGTTTTGTAGTGTTCTTATACTTGAAAGGTTTGACCATTCTCATTCTTGAAACATAAATTCGTAAGGATGTGTAAGTTTGATTTTTCTCCAGCAACATCCATTTATTTATTCTCTGCTTTCTTTGTTAGATCTGATTCTTCAGCTTCTGATTTCTCTAGATCAAAAAAATCTAATTATAACCACTATAGTTATTTGGGCCATTTTGCTATCTGTACCTGCTTTCTGGTCTTTCTTTTGACCTTATTCCAAATCTTAGTCCACTCATTATTGTTAAAGTTTCTCCTTAGTTGTTTTATTACTGTCATAACTGTCATTTTAAAGTAAGTTTTGTTTTTTGTTTTTTTCAGAATATCTCACTGAATAAGATAGAAATCCTTACTATCACTTTTTTTTCTTTTTTTTTTAACAAAGGGTTTTCTCCTGGCTTTTTCACAACTAATTGTATAAGTGACTTTATTAACCCTTCCTGCATTCTTCCATCACAGAACCACTCATTGCAAGGGACTATCATATCAGAATCACTTAGGGGAGTTTTTCAAGCTGCTCTGCCCCTCTAGCCACCCCTGGATTCTTAGCTGTATTCTGACCTGGAGGAATTGATATATTGACTATATCAAAGGTCTCCTGTCCATTCCCACCCCTGCAGCATTCAGAGCCATTGTATTATTGTATGCATTTGCTGTAATCATTTGTATAATGGAAAATAAAATCCACAAAAGATTGTCTAGGTAATTTATCTCACAGAAGAGGGTAAGTCAACACATTACTATTAGGTCTTAGTGTAATTGTACCATTAAAGCTTGTAATTCAACATTATTTAACAATAAAATTTATTTTCTCCTTCAAGCTAGAGAAAGTCTTGTTCTTAAGAGAAATAATTTTTTTAAAAAGTTCAGTGAAATATTTTTCTAGTTGGCACAAATAAGTTGCTATCCTTTTCAAAAATATAATTAGCATAGTATTTTTAAATGCTTTTTAAAATCAGGATATGTTTTATAATTATTTACATGCTGAATTTTTTTTTTTTTAACTTATATTCCCAGGTTGAACAGTTAACAAATCATCTGAAAGAAAAAACAGACAGGTGCAGTGAGCTTTTGCTATCCAAAGAACAGCTTCAGAGGGATATACAAGAGCGAAACGAAGAAATCGAGAAGCTGGAATTCAGAGTAAGGGAACTGGAGCAAGCCTTACTCATTAGTGCAGACACTTTTCAAAAGGTGTGACATTTTTATGTGTATATATATATATATATATATATATATAATTTTTTTTCTCAGTTAACTTTACCAAGGGTTTTAGTGTAAATTATTCTTAAAAAGGACTGTTGATGTCTTGTTATTACTACAACATAGTGTCTACATATTTATGTCTATTGCTGACATGGTGCCATTGCTGTTCACTCTTATTTCCAAATATTGTTTGTATATTTTTTTAATCCTGAGAAAGGAAGATTAGGTACACCAAAACAATTCTTTTTTTTTTTTTTTAAGTTTTTATTGTTAATTGAGTGAAAGTTCACTAGGCTACAGGGCAGATCAGTTTTACATTCAACAGATGTTATACTTTGTTTCATGTACCATTAGTTAACAGTATTTCTCGCTCTTCATTTTAGCTCTTTTTTTTTTTTAAACACTCTGGCATATATACGAATTTAAACAACCAAAGAGCACTTTCTGCAAGCCTGCCTCCTGGCCGCCAGCACTCAGTCTTTCTCTTTCATGAGTCTAGAGTCCTCAGCTGCTCCCTCTCTCCATGTCCCCATCTCTGCCTCCATCTCTGGTGTCGCTGTTTCTCTGGATAAGGTCCCACATTCAGCCTGTGCTCTTCTCCCTTGATTGTCCTAGGGTCTTCTGTTTCTAGACTCTAAGACTAACTACTCCCTCGTTTTTGGTGCAAAACTTCTACCTTTACAATTGTGATAGTCTCAATTAGTCATGATAACAATTACTCACTATTTAATTATAAGAATCTTGTCCCCATCTCTTATAACCAGACCCATCTAGACAAGATGAAAATTCTTCAATGGGGACTCTATCTTCCCCCGAACATGCTTAAACTAAAGTCCCTCTTGAAAACTTGTAAGCCAGTCACTTCATGCCTCCAAAAGAATTAGTTTCCTTTTAATAATAACCAAGTGAGAATCTATGGACACCACTTTAGGGTGATGTTTTACCCAGAAAACAAAAATGAAAGAAATAAGAGACTATTGTAAGGAAGCTAGAGAGGGAGCAAAAGGAGGAATACTTTTATTTCATCTGAGAAATGAATTTTGAGAATGTCAGACATTCCTACAAATTTGTACAAAAGGCATTCTATAACTTTTTGTGTGTCCATTAGTTAAACTATCCAATTCCATCTAGAGAATCAATTCTTCTCTAATTAATATCAACAGTCCAGATTTAATATCTAAAAATTTGAGAAAATTCTTATGTATTTAAAGGTAGAGGATCAAAAACAGTTTGGAGCTATAGAAGCGAAAGCAGAATTGTCCCTAGAAGTACAATTGCAAGCTGAGCGAGACGCCATAGACAGAAAGGAAAAAGAGGTAAAGAGTTTATTTTTATGTGACAAAATGTGATTTGAATTATTGTAAATAAATTGCCTTGAAAATATCACTTGAGCATAATGAAGTTTGTAATCTAAAACCAAAGTTTAGACTGTTTTGTTTTGCTTTTTTTAGCTCATTCCCATAAGTTTATTTTGAAAGCAGTAAGTGTGAACAAGTAAATCAGTTAACAGCTTACCTTCTTGAACAAAGTATCTAATGACTCTATATTTTACTCAGAATCATAGTTATTTAGAAATACAAGAGACTTAGGAGAGCATCCATCAACATTTTTACAGATACAGAGAAAGAACAAAGTCAAAGATCGTGCATAAGAAGAAAGTGATTAAAATTACAGTGACCATCTTCCTCTAGTTTTTAATAACTATGACAAGTTCTGTATCAGAACCCATGCATGCACTTGTAACTCAATCCATGGAAACTGAGAGGCAGGAAAGTTTCATTAAAATGTGTGTTTTTAATGAAAATAATGTTTCAAGCATTCTCTCCTGCAGTAGACAAAGGTTGAATAGATCTAATGAAGTCTAAAAATAGTATGTACATATATGTCATTATATTTGAGATATTTTCCACCACTCCCATAGCCTAACTGTATAAAATGTTTTTTTTGAGTTTGTTAAGGTATTTGGAAATGCAGGATTAATTAATAGAAAACATTAAAATATAAGAATTTCAGTATACTAATTGAAGGGGAATCATATGGAAAGAAACAGAAGTAAGGAAGAATTTATTTAAGGAAAAAAAATGTCTTGATAGGTTTTGGTTCTCTGTAGAGCAAAGGAGAGTTTAGCTCACAGATAGAGAAGCATACTGTTGTTGTTGTTAAGTGCTGTAGAGTCGGTTCCGACCCATAGCGACCCTGTACAGGGTTTCCAAGGGTATAAATCCTTACGGGAGTAGAAAGCCTCATCTTTCTCCCGCAGAGAGGCATAATAGGTAATGATAATTTATTTCATTGAGTGCTGGGGGCTATAAAGTGCTAGTGTTGTTGTTGTTGTTATTTGCCTTCGAGTCGGTTCCGACCCATAGCGACCCTGTACAGGGTTTCCGAGGGTGTAAATCCTTACGGGAGTAGAAAGCCTCATCTTTCTCCCGTGGAGCAGCTGGTAGTTTCGAACCGCTGACCTTAAGGTTCGCAGCCCAATTCGTAACCACTACACTACCAGAGCTCCTATAAAGTGCTAGTAAGTATTCTAAATGCATATCTCATTCAGTCTTTATACCCTACCTGGGGATAGGCTCTAGTTTTATCTTCATCTGGCAGAAAAGTAAACGAAGTTTTAGAAGGTGGTCAATAATGTGCTCATGGGTCACACAGTAAGTAGCTGAGTAAGAATGGCATCCAGGTTCCTCTGGATGTAGATAATGCCATATATACTGTGACGCTGGACTACAAAGGTGAGAAGTGTCATGGATATCCTTCAACATTTATGGAGCTCTTTACAGCGTGCAGAGCAATTATGAAAACAGCACCTGACTTCAAGGAATCTACTGTCTAAAAGATATATACATATATGAAAGAGACAAAAACATTTTTAAAAAAGAAAAGCACAAGGAGGTGCAAATTAATGTAATCCAAACAGTGTAGGTATCAAATGGTAGATGAACTAAGCAAGATTAAAACACAGTTATCCTCAGTTTATATTTTGAAGCTTTAGTTAACTGTTCTTCTGGTATTTGGTTGTTAATAGGCAAAATAACGTTGTTAAGTGGTGTTGAGTTGGTTCCGACTCATAGCAACCCTGTATAGGGTTTCTGAGGAGCAGCTGGTAAATCTGAACTGCCAACCTTGAGGTTTAAACCGATCATACAGTCCAGTGCTTATACTACAACACCACACAATAATAATGCAGACTGAAATTGTTGTCTGGCAGATTAAGAGGAAAGAATGCCTTGTAATGACATAGTTTAAGATTGAAGTCCCTAAAGGGATTCTTCAAGTTCAGCAACTTATAATAGGAATGTTAGAGCTTTAGACTTGTTGTTATGTGCTGTGGAGTTGGTTCCGACTCATAGCGACCCTGTACAGGGTCTCTGAGGCTGTAAATCTTTACGGGAGCAGAAAGCCTCATCTTTCTCCCGAGGAACAGCTGGTAGTTTCAGACTGCTGACCTTGCAGTTCACAGCCAGATTCATAACCACTACGCTACCAGAGCTCCTTAGAGCTTTCAACTACTGCTTTTCAAATTCATAGATTTTACTCTGCATATGAATCACCTGGGAATCTTGGTAAATTGCAGATTCTAATTCAGTAAGTCTGGGTTGAAACGTGAGATTCTGCGATGTGGCGCTGTGGGTTATTGCGCCAAGATTGCAAAGCTGTTTGAACTGCAGGGTCGGCGGTTTAAGCTCACCAGCTGGTCCTCAGAAACCCTGTACAGGGTCGCTATGGTTTGGAATCGACTCAATGGCACTTAACAACAACAACACCAGGCTCCCAGGTGATACCCATTCAAATGCACCAGGATCCACACTGAGGTGTAAGGATTTAGATCACAGACATGATTTGACCAAAAGCTGTTGTATTAATAAGGAAAGTAAAAATCTGATGAAGTACGGCAGCAATTTTGAACTCAAATAACTATGTATGTGTTGATACTAAAATAAATAAAATAACACCTTGTCATCAGAGGTAGTTGTAGAAGATAGGCAGAGGTGCACATACTATTATAGAACTTTGAAGAAGATACAATCATCACAGTTGTCAACAAACCTGATAATTATGTATGCATAACCACTAACTGTATTTAAAATGTGTCTATTGAGTTTAATTACCAGTGTTACAGAAAAATCCTTAAGTATAAGTCTTACACATTACTTATTAGACACAGGATGAATGACAGGTTAAGAGTGTCAGGGTCCAGAGATAATCTCCTGAGGTTCGAAACTTGGCTTCACTGTTTACTAGCCCTGTGACCTCAGGGCAAGTTTTTTCATCTTTCAGTGACACTTTTCCTCATGTCTAAAGTGGGAGTCCTGAGTGGCTATTGAAACTCACCTGCTGCTTCTCAGGAACCCTGACATAACAATAGCAACCACAAAGTGGCAATAGTCATAATACATCCCTCATCAGATTTTTTTTGTTGCTTTGTTTTTTGCAAGTATATATAAAGCACTTAGTACAGCGCATAGCAGTACATTACCTATAAATACTAGCTATTATTAATAGTATTGACAGTATTAACATTTAGGCTGTCTTAGGCTAACTGAATTTTTAAGGCTTGTTGCTTTGCCAGTACTAGGATATGATTCCAACTGCATGTCAGCCGTGTAATCAACATTTGTCCTCTTTCAGCTTCTAAGATGTATAGACTGCTCTCTGGGTCAGCTGCCACTAAATGCTGCTCCTTCATTTTCAATTGCTTTATTTACTATTTATTTATTTTATTCTTGGTGAAAATATTCACAGCAAAACCTGGTCCTGTTCCACAGTTTCTGGACATAATGACCAGTGAAGCTGGTTCATTCTTCACAGTGTCAACGTTCTCATAATTTCTGTTCTAGCTACCCCTCACCCCAGCCTTCTTATCTATGCTCTAAAACAACTGTTGACCCTTTAGTTTAATTAATTTATTTATTTATATTTAATGTAATGCTCCAGGGTGACTTGACTGTTTTTACTGTTTGGGCTAAACTCTTACTTATTTTAAAGGAAACTTTAGGGGATAGTTTCAATTCAGGGTTTGAAGAGCAATTCAAGGCCATAGTCTCGGGCACTCCTTCAGCCTCAATAAGTCTAGTAAATCTTGATTCCTTAAGAATTTGAAGTTCTGTTCCACATTTTTCTTCCTTTTTATCAGGATTCACTGTTGTAGTCCTGATCAGAATGCTCAATAGTTAGTTTTAATGGACCAGTTTTGATCATACAGTAAATGCATATTTTTAAATCTACTCATTAAATGTTTGTTAAGTAGCTGTAAAGCCATGAACTACATGTTTTGATCATGATTAAGACTGTTTCTAGCCTCAAACCTCCTCCTTTAGTATAATGTTAACTAGCTCTTAATTTTCATCATTAGTTTGTCTTTATATTATCATCATTCAGAGCAATTACTTAACAAGTGGTGGTGGTGGTGGTGGTGGTGATGTGCCGTGGAGTCGGTTCTGACCCACAGTGACCCCACATAGGGTTCCCGAGGCTGTAAATCTTTACGGGAACAGAAAGCCTCATCTTTCTCCCAGGGAACAGCTGGTAGTTTTGAACTGCTGCCCCTGAGGTTAGCAGCCTGATTACTAATTAATAGTATTGGTAGTATTTCCATTTAGGCTGCCTTAGGCTAACTGGATTTTTAAGGCTTGTTGCTTTGCCAGTATTATGGGTACCTGAGGTTAGCAGCCCGATTACTAATTGGGCCGCTGACCTCAAGATCAGCAGTTCAAAGCTACCAGCGGTTCTGCAGCAGAAAGATGAGGCTTTCTGCTCCCGTAAAGATTTACCTCCTCAAAAACCCTATGCGGGGTCGCTGTGGGTCGGAACCCACTCTATGGCACTTAACAACAACAAAATCCTTAATAATAAACTAAACTTCTGTTCTACTTACAGGAGCTTTCCAGTTTTCTCCTAAAATTATATTAAAATCTTATCAAGTGGTTTCTGTAATTCAGACCTAGGGATCTCTCAATTTTAGGGTCAACTTATGCTGCCATATGAGCTAATTAGATAACCTGTGGTCTAAAATGAGCCCTTCTCACTTGGTCACTGAAATAACTGATTTTTCTCCAGATTTTTGTTTTGTTTTAGCTTTTTGATAGCAATTAAAAACATAAATGAGTGAAATGTGGACTCTTTTCCCTCCTATCATGACTCTTTCTGTCTCCACCAGAGGATGTTTGGTAGGAAATGTTCCCATGCCCATCCTCAGATGTTCGTCTCTAATTTGAATATATCTAAAAACACAGGTGCCTATCTGATTTAGGAAAGCCACTTTCCTTGTTTTGTTACTCACATGTTTTCAGCATACATGTTTGGGAGCTATTAACAGCACTCTTGAGAAACAGTATTTATATAAACTACTTATGTTTCTTGTTTTTTTATTCTTGATCATTTTGGCTTTAAGATCACAAATTTAGAAGAACAATTAGAACAATTTAGAGAAGAACTGGAAAATAAAAATGAAGAAGTTCAGCAATTACATATGCAATTAGAAATACAGAAAAAGGAATCAACTACCCGCTTACAAGAACTTGAACAAGAAAATAAATTATTTAAGGTAAGAAAAACTTTTTTTATATAAATAATTCATAGTTTTGACCCTGTTTAGCCTTATTAGCATCTGCAAAGCCAGTTTCTAAGTAATACTTACTAGGTATGTTAGTCGGAAAATGAATTTGCAATCTAAACATTTAAATTCATCATCATAAGTGAAAAATTTGAGACTTTTTATAAAAATATTTTAAGGATTATTGAAGAACTATGTGATAGCTCTCATATTTTCATTTGTACATTTTAGATACTGTGTATTTTATTAGTGCTAATTAATAAAAAGAATAAGTTGGAAGTGACATGTAATAATATATACAACTAGAATAGTTATTTTTGTCCTTAGGATGAAATGGAGAAACTGGGATTTGCCATAATGGAATCAGATGCTACCTCTACTCAGGACCAACATCTTCTATTTGGGAAAGTTGCTCAAATAATACAGGAAAAAGAGAGAGAAATTGAACAATTAAATGAGAAAATTACAAAACTTCAGCAGCAACTTAAAATTACAACAGATAACAAGGTATACTCATTTGAAATTGGTTATTACCTAAAATTAATTTGGGTTAGAATTTTAAAGGGCAAAGTAGTTGTAATTTTTAGTTTCCTATTGAATTTAAAAGCAAAACTTAATTTTGTTTTATACATTAATTTTAATTTTTTAGACACTTTGGTTTAGAAAACTGTGTATTTTTGCCCTTTGGAGTCCTGGTGTGGCTACATAGCATAAGCACTGGACTGCTAACCATAAAGGCATTGACTCAGAAACACTATATAGGATCGCTGTGAGTCAGAACTGATTTGACGGTACTTAACAAGAAAATCAGTATCATCAAAGGGTTTTCATGTTTCCCAGGGAGTCTGTGATGACTCAGGTTTCATCATATCATGTTCACCAAATCTACTAAGAGGTCCTCTATTTAGTTCTGAGTTGGTGCCATCTGCTGTATTCTTTTTATTTCAGTACTTTATCTGTTTCAGTGAGGATGCATTAATGCTGACTTTAGGGTCACAGTGAATCAGAATCATTCCAGTGGTGATGGGCTTTTTGGGTTTGGTCTTTACCTTATAGGAAAAGGTGTAAATCACTTTACATTTAGTAGAATTTTCTGAACAAAATTCTGAATGAGGTCCTTGTTTTAATTTGATGAAAGATGTATTTGTCTATACTGAAATTATAATGGTATGTCTAAGCAGTATGCTAAGGCGCTCTGGTAGCGTAGTGGTTACGAATCGGGCTGTGAACCACAAGGTCAGCAGTTCAAAACTACCAGCTGTTCCGTGGGAGAAAGGTGAGGACAGCCTCGGAAACCCTATACAGGGTCCTGTGAGTCGGAAACGACTCCATGGCATATAACAACAACAACAAGCAGTATGGTATTATCTTGTGTGATTATCTCTTTGAGGTTCTGTCCTAAAAAATAAAATTCCCAAAAGATAAATGTATTATGTATGTTACCTTTTTTGTTTTCATTAACTTAATAGGTTATCGAAGAAAAAAGTGAACTGATAAGGGATCTTGAAACCCAAATAGAATGCTTGATGAGTGATCAAGAACAAGTGAAGAAAAATAGGGATGAAGAAGTAGAACAGCTCAATGAAGTGATTGAAAAACTTCAACAAGAGTTGGCAAATATTGAACAGAAGACCTCAGCAGATGCCAGTTCCCTCCAAGAAGAAGCAGATAGTTTAAAACATCAATTGGATATGGTAATAGCTGAAAAGCTGGCTTTGGAAAAGCAAGTAGAAAATACTAATGAAGAAATGGCCTTCACAAAAAATGTCCTCGAAGAAACCAATTTAAAAATGAATCAGCTAACGCAAGAATTATATAACCTAAAGAGAGAATGTGAAGACATGAGGAAAACTCAGAGTGTACCAGAGACAAATATTAACATGGTTGTAGATAATCTAAGCAAAGATAAAGCTGAACTGGACATAGTCCTTACTAACGATACTTTTAAGTCTGGAGAAAGTCAGACTTACCTCAAATCTATTGAAGAAAACAGCCAAGTGTCTGTAAGTAGTTTGGAAACAAAGTTGCTACAACTTGAGAGCACTGTTAGTACAAAGGATTTAGAACTAATGCAATGTTATAAACAAATAAAACACATGCAAGAGAAGGGTCAGTCTGAAACAGAAATGCTTCGAAAGAAGATTGTAAGCCTACAGAAAGTACTTGAAGAAAAAGTTGCTGCTGCTCTTGTGAGTCAAGTCCAACTTCAGGCACTTCAGGAATATGCTAAATTCTGTCAAGATCCCCCAGCAGTTTCCTCAAAACCCAAAAGAACAAGTAACCATAATTTAAATCAATCAACAGAAAAAGAGATGGAGTCAAATGTGTCTGCATTAACCTTGAGGATATCAGAATTAGAAAGTCAGGTGGTAGAAATGCATTCTAGTTTGACTTTGGAAAAAGAGCAAGTACATATTGCAGAGAAAAATGCTTTGGAGAAAGAAAAGCAGCTGCTTGAACTACAGAAGCTGTTGGCAGACAGTGAAACAAAGCAGGGAGGTGATGAAAGGAAAACAAGCGCGCAAGGAGATCTTGAAGTCCTGGAGGTGAGAGTGTTTTTAATGTTTCTCTTAAATGTTTTAACAGACTTCTCTTTTATGTTTCTTAAGGAGATTGCACATTTTGCTAAATTAAATATGATGTTCTTTACATCTACCAAGTTACATATAGAGTTTTTATAAGATTATTATTACATAGTATAGTTATATTATTAGCATTAGAATAATAGCTGTAAACTATATTTTATAGTCTTTTGGGTCAGACTTTTAAATTTATTATACCTGGTCTTTTGAGGAAAGTGATATAAATGTGAAACCTTGAAATTACGACAAAGAAGATTTTTATGAATAGTTTATAAATTTTTAGGAGAGTTACTACTGATATTGTTTACTTCTCATTCCATGAAAATAATTCCTATTGTCTCAAGAATATAAAATGATTGTTCTGAAAAAATTGATCATTTCAAACCCTTTCAACTTATAGGCATGTATCCCTGACAAGCTTCATTCGAATAGATAAGTGCCTTAAAATTGACTGTACTTTTTTAAATGATGTTTCTTATGGTTTTCACTACCATTCAGACAACTACTGAGCTATTTCACACCAGTGAAGAAAGTATGTTTTTTGGTGAACGTGAGACTCTTGGAGCTGAGTGTGCAGTTCCTAAAGAACTTGCCAGTTATAAAGAAAAGGCAGACAAGCTTCAAGAAGAGCTTTTGGTAAAATAAATGCCGTATTTCATAGTTCACTTATTTCTACCTATCTTAATTTCATGTCAAAATATTTTGTAGTCACTTTCCGTAACTACTACATGACCATATATACATATATGAGTTACAGTGTATGTATATGTGTATGTGAGACCATGATTGTTTCAGAAATGTTTTACTACTATGAGGAAACTGAACATTTTTACATGAGTTATATTTCCCCTTCCCTTAAATTAATTACATTTTATCTGGCAAAAAAAAAAATTGACTATTGTTCTATTCATTATGTTTTAGGTTAAAGAAACAAATGTGGCATTTCTTCAGAAAGATTTAAGTCAAGTTAGGAATCAACTCACAGAGGCAAAAGCAAAATTAGCCTACTTAGAAAAAGAAGATGAGACAGAGGAACGAGAAAACAGAAAGATCTGCATCTCCGAACCACTTCCTGTTACAGTGAGTAGAAGCTGTGCATCCCAGACAGATGGAACACTCAAGGTCAGCAGCAGCGAGCAGACTCCACAGATTCGTGTGAGAAATGCAGGAATCCAAATTGATTTGCAGAGTGAATGTTCATCAGACGAAGTCACTGAAATAATCAATCAGTTTACTGAAAAAATTGAACAGATGCAAGAACTACATGCTGCTGAGATTTTGGATATGGAATCCAGACATATTTCAGAGACGGAAACTTTGAAAAGGGAACATTACATTGCTGTTCAGTTACTGACAGAGGAATGTAGTACCTTGAAGGCAGTAATTCAGTGTCTGAAAACTAAAGAGGTACTTAGTTTTCATAATTTATATTTTTAATTTTTTTTTTTAATATGTTTATGAAAGATAAAGAAGTTTGGGGTAGTCTATTCCTTGTGATACAATTATAATTTCAAATCTTTATTTCCATTGTAACTTTCTAAAAAGTTCTTGTGTTGGTTTGTATATTTTGCTAATTCACCAGTGCCTCTCCTTATAATGGCAATGTGCGTAAGGTCAGAATTAAAGATACCAGGGGTAGTTTATTTTAAGTGTGAAAGATGTGATGGATTTAATTGATTTTTTTTTTTCCTGAAAGTATTAGAAAAGAACAAAGCTATTTATTGGACTATATTTTTATGAAGACAAAAAGTGTTTGTTGTTTGTTTTGTTTTCTCTAATTAGGGATCCTCAATTCCTGAATTAACACATTCTGACTCTTACCAAAATAGAGAAGTATGTTCCAGTGGTAAGTTAATTAAATTTCTGGATTTTAATAATAGTTGTTTACAAATTTTTTGTATGATAAATGACTGCTTTCTACTTTCTTTATTTTAGATTCTGGATCAGACTGGGGTCAGGGAATTTATCTTACACAAAGTCAGGGATTTGATGCAGCATCAGAAGGCCAAGGAGAGGAAGGTGAAAGTTCAACAGATTCATTCCCAAAGAAAATAAAGGTAATAATTGACAACTGTTGCTTAGGAACCTTAGACAGTGGCAGAGGTTATGTAGTAAATAGAGATAGCTTCTGCTCTTAAAGTGAAAAGAATTACAGAGCTAGAAGGGACTTGGGGATCACATGAATCTCATTATCTTATTTACACATACAGTATGTTTAATGATTATTTTTATAAAGATTTCATTTTCCCCCCAGTATTTCTGTTTGTCAAAATTATTAAAACAGTCTCAAGTATTGAAAGTTTTTACCCATGTGTTTCTTTTGGTTAGATCAGTAACTGTTCATTAAATATATGAAGAATACTTTAGATAAATAGAAGGAACTTAGAGATAACTATACAAAGTCTTAGCTTACTGGATTGATTTCCCTCTCTATACAGAGATGACATCAGTAATGGGAAGCTAGGATTTCCTTTCTGCAATGGCCTTATTAAATCAGTCAAATAACATAAACATATCTACTTTAATGCTGATTTCTATTTGTTACCTAATCTTGCAGTCCCTGAAGAATTTGTCTTAAATTCTGACTTTGGGGTTTTGGTTTCCAGGGGTTACTGAGAGCTGTTCATAATGAGGGCATGCAAGTACTCTCTCTCACGGAGTCTCCCTATAATGATGGAGAGGATCATTCTGTTCCTCAAGTTTCAGAATCTTGGCTAGAAGAGAGACGAGCTTACCTCAGTACAATTTCATCTCTTAAAGATCTAATTACCAAAATGCAGGTGTCAAGAGAAGCCAAGGTACCCAAGGAATGTTATGGATCTAAATATTCGTATTGTTTTTATTTCATTTATATTATGTTATTATAAAAGGATCCCTGGTGGTGATGTGAGTTAGGCATTGGACCGTTAGCCACAGGTTGGCGCTTGAAGCCCATCAGCTGTTCTACACGAGAAAGATGAGGTTGTCTGTTCCTGTAAAGCTTTACAATCTTGGAAACTCTAAAAAGGGTCAATGTGAGTCATAATTGATATGGTGATAATGAATTTGGGAGTTTTCTGTGTTATTATATACAAGGGTAAGTCAAAGTATTATTACAAACATAGAACCCTTTATTACACAAAAATATCAAAATGTGAAGCTATTGTTGGCTGGGTATATCCTCCCGCTAGATCTAGACACTTGTGAAGGCAGTGTTTCCATCTCTAACCCTTCCTGAAGAAATAGACCCTCTTAAAAGAGTAAAAGAATTAGATGCTCTTCCAATTTACACCAAGTCAAAACGACACTTTTGGCATCCTCCAAGGATTCAAATGCTGCTGCTTTTAAATGTTCTTTGAGTTTGGGGAACAAAAGAAGTCTGAAAGGGCAAAATAATGAGTATAGGTTGGATGGAGTAAGGTTCCCCAATGAAATTGTCATAGGACAGCTCTTGCTACCTTTGAAGAATGAGCAGATACATTATGACAGAAATAAACCTTGGTACAACTTTTCTGGCCTTTTCTCACCAATGCCCTGTTCAGTTTTCTGAAAACGTCTTCCAAAGAAACCTCTGTGATCATCCTGTGTACCTTGAGAAAATCAAGATTACCCTTTTGGAATCTCCCAAAAATAGTCACAATAACTTTCTGAGCTGATCTGTTTACCTTTTGGCCCAGTATTCACTCAGAAGCCTCTGTTTTGATTGAACCTCTTTTTTTGAAGGCACCTGACGAGACTAAAAGTCTTACTGAGTTAGCTTGTGTACAGCTATCCACTGAGACATGTATAGACACAGTTTGTCTGAAATAAACTCTTGCATGTATAAACTGGAACTCTAGTAACAGTACTTTTGGACTTTACCCTCCAATACCCTACTTTAAGGAACTTTTCAAATTCTATTTTATGACATGTTTTCACATGAATTACTATATAGTGTTTAAATGTTCTAAGTCACATACTTGAAATAAATTTATATGTTCTTGGGCTCTGTAGTATTTATTTTGGTTGAGTATAGTAACATAATTTTTACAACATTTGAAAAATAGGCTGATTTGAAAACTAACTTTTGTTTTTTTATACTCTTCTAGGCTTATGATAGTTGTCAGTCTCCTGAGAGCTGCTCAGACTGGCGAGGAGAGCTTCTGACTGCCCTTCAGCAAGTTTTCTTAAAGGAGCGTGGGGTCCTCCTAGCAGCATGTCAGACTGAGCTGACGGTTCTAGGTACCAGAGATGCAATTGGCTTATTAAACTGCTTGAAAGAGAGAATGCAAGAACAGGTATTAAAATGAAACCTCTATTAGAGGCTGAATTATTGATTACTTGTAGAACTTTAAGTTCACTATGAAAGATAATGGAATTTTTAACAGGAACTACTACGAGTGTTTGGGAGAAAAGTCATTACCTAAAATGCTTTGCCTTGTTGTTAGAAAATAAGACTAAAAATCAGTGAGCTACTCATCCAACTTGTTCTTGTTAGGTGCTGTAGAGTCGGTTCCAACTCATAGTGACCTTATGAACAACGGGACGAAATACTGCCCAGTTCTGTACCATCCTGATAGTCGTTGTTAACCTTGAGCCCATTGCTGCTGCCACATCAGTCCATCTTGTTGGGGGGGGAGGGGGTCTTACCGTTTTTTGCTAACCCTCCACTTTACCCAGCATGATGTCCGTCTTCAGAGATTGGCCCTCCTGATAACGTATCAGAAGAATGAGAGATGATGTCCTGCCATCCTAGCTTCTAAGGAGCCTTCTGGCTATAATTCTTCCAACACAGATTTGTTTGTTCTGCTGGCAGCCCATGATACTTTCAGTATTCTTCTCCAGCACCATCATTCAAATGCATCAATTCTTCTACAGCCTTTCTTATTCAGTGTCTAACTTTCACATGTATATGAAGTTATTGAAAATACCATGGCTAGGGTCAGGCACACCTAACAATTAGACTCGTAGATATTTAATCACACAGAAGTGAAATTTATGTATCCATAAAAAACTAATCACAAATGTTAATAGAAAACAGACAAATAATGTAAATACATGTTTATAGAAGACAACATGAAAAGACACTCAAATAAAATGTACTTTATGATTCATACAGTAGAACACTGTAGATAGAACAGTGAAAATGCATATGAACTAAAGCTGCAGTTATCCAGGTAGATGACTCACCAGCATGTTAAGTGAGAAATGCAAATTACATACAAACAAATACAGCATGGCAATATGATTCCATCTATCTGAGGTTGTTTTTTTTACTGCAAAGCAACATGGTATATTGCTTTGCACTAATGTGTCTTGTTGTCTGTGTGTCTAATAGAGTGCATGAAAATGGCAAATACTAAATTTAAAATTTGGGATCTCATGGGCAGGGGATGCAGAGGAGGATGTGTTCAGAGAGATATACATAGGGGCATTTAACTACACAAATGCCAGTTCTTAGGCTAGGTACCTGGGTGTTTGTTATATTCTTCTTCACATTTTATTATGTGTTTGAAATATTTTTAAATAAATGTAAAAAGCTAAAAAGTAAGCCCTAATGAACAGAAGGAGTCCTAGTATAACACTATAGGATACACACTGAACTACAAGGCCTGCTTGAGCCACAAAATCAGCAGTTCAAACTCACAAGCCGCTCCTCAGAAACCCTATACAGAGTCACTATGAATCAGAAGTGACTGGACAGCACTTAACGACAACACTGGCTAGAAATAGAAAAATAATAACATGATTCCAAAATGTTAGCACGTACAAGGGGCTTCCAAAGTTCATAGAACAATGGAATTAAAAGATAATGAATGTTTTCCACAAATAATTTGAAACCCCCTTGTATGTGCCATTCATTCTTCTTAGACTTCCTGATTGTTACTTTTATTGTTTTTATAACTCCCTTTATTTGTTTTTTTAATTTTGCACTGTAAATAGGTTCTTGAATATCAAGCAGCTATGGAATGCCTCCAGAAAGCAGACAGAAGGAGTTTGTTATCTGAAATCCAAGCACTATATGCTCAGATGAATGATAGGAAAATGACTTTTAAAAAAGAAAGCGATCCATCAAGCCAAGGTATGTTGTGGTAGTCACACAAAGAAGTGAAAGTGTTTCCACTTGGATTCATTGCTTCTTATTAGTAATTAAAACACTTTTCCTCTTAGTCACACTTTCTCATTTTCATAACATTGAAGAAACAGTATACATTAGTTACAGGGTTACCTATTTGGTTTTAAATGGCTGTTTTTTTATTTAAAATCAACAGCTTTAAGTCCGTCCATTACGTTCATTATCTTTTTTTATATTGAAGCTCTGTGTTAAGAAAACACTTATACTTTACAAGATAACCACCTAAGAAAAAGAAGTTCACAATTATACTATTTTTAATCCCCTATTTTAATATAAATTGTAACAGAAAAGTACAAAATGTACATATATTGCTGCTGCATGCCTCAACTTGGTTCCTACTCATTGACCCTGAATAGGGTTTCCAAGGCCGTAAATCTTTATGGGAGCAGAAAGCCTCATCTTTCTCCCGCAAACCAGCTGGTAGATTTGAACTTCTGACCTTGCAGTTAGCAGTCCAACATGTAATCCACTATGCTACCAGGGCTCCTTACAAAATGTAATATTGTTGTTGCTAAGTTCCATGGAGTCGGTTTCGACTCATAGAACCCTCTATTGGGTTTCCAAGGAGCAGTTGGTGGGTTTGAGCTGCTGACCTTGTGTTCTCAGTCCAGTGCTGATCCTACAGCAGCACACTAGGATTCTAATTCCTAAACTCTATAAATCTGATTTCGTTCTATTTTTAAGCTTTATTGTTGTGTATATATTTTGTGTCTACCTTTGCTGTATATATGTTAGTTGATACATTTGTTACTGTATAGAATTTCCTCGTGTAGATATTCCACAGTGTGTGTATCCATTCTATGGTTCTTTTCGTGTTGCTATCAGTGCTCTTCTGGGCACTGTTACCCAAAGTTGCCTGGTGCATCTGTGCCTGAGTTTTCTGGGTATATACCTAGAAATAGAATTGCTTGGCATAAGATGCATATCTTCAAATTTGTTAGATAATGTCAAACTGGTTTCCAAAGTAGTTGTATATCAATTTATACACTCAAGCATTGCCTCACATCTCTGCCAACAGTTGGTCTTGTCATTTTTTGCAGTCTGGTAGGTATGCAGTGGATTGTTACTGCTGTGCATTTCTGATGTACATTTCCCTGCTTACTGAAGTTGTTCGGTACTTCCTCATATGATTGGCTCATTAAGGGTTCTACTTTTGTGATATGCTTGTTTAGATCTAGGGATGTCTGTTTACATTGTGTGTAAAGCTACAGATGGAAAGCATTAGAGATTAAAGAGAAATCTGTCATCCTGCCTAGTGATGACACACATCTGTCATAATAAAATGGCAGAAACATAATAAAATGGCAGAAACACATCTGTCATAATAAAATGGCAGAAATGCTTTTTACAAAATTTGAAAGTTACCGTTTAGCCTAATAATTGTGATTTGAAAATCTGGAACAGATTAAAATTGTTTTAGAAAAAAACAGGTGTAATTCAAGCAAATGCCTTATATTTAGATACAGGCTTTGTTGACATTTGTTTTTTGTTATTAAATGTTACAGGATTGATTCCAACTCATAGTGATGATATAGAGTTTCTGGGGAGCGGGTAGTTGGGTTTGAACTGCCAAACTTGTGGTTAGCAGTCCAGTGTTTATCCTACAGCATCCTCGAACACTTAATTAGTATCACATTGATTGGTAATTATTTATACATGTACAATCTTAATTTATGCCCCCTAAAACAATAGCTTTAAAAACCTAAATTAATATGATTGATTACCCTGCTACTATTATAAAGAGGATCCACTCTGACGGAGTATTTCTAGTTTAAAATGCTGTTTTTCTTTACAATAGCATTATCTATTTCTAGTAGAAGAGAGGAACGAAGGAATAGAGTCAAAATGAACCTCTCCACAATCCTAAAGTGATGCTTTAGTGGTTAAGAGTCAGGCTGTTAACCTCAGGGTCAGCAGTTCGAAACTACCAGCTGTTCCACAGGAGAAAGATGAGGCTTTCTGCTCCGGTAAAGATTTGAAGCCTCGGAAATCCTGTACAGGGACGCTATGAGTCGGAACCGACTCTCCAGCACACCTCCACCACCAAAATGATGTTTATTAACACCTGGGTTTTTCAATGTGCATATATATATAAGTTCATATTTTTGCAAATAGTGATATCCTTATGTATATTTTATGACCTACTTTTTTAATTTAAAGTTAAAGGATTTATTTTAGTTCGTTTTCATTTTGACAGACATGTACCAAGAGTTTATTTGGTGTTTTAAGGAAAAACTATGATTCAGACTCTGAGTTTGGACTTCCCTCTTCTGGATATAGAGTTGTAGTTGAGTTTCTGTCTGCAAAAGGGGGTGGGAGAGAAACTGAGCAAAATGAGCAAGTAGTGCTGATTATTATAGTCACAGTTCCAGAGAAAACTCCGGTGAGTAATTGGTATGGATAGCCAAATTCATGGGAATGGTTTAGTGTGAGCTTTTGAAATTCTGAATGAACAAATAGAAATTTATAGTTACATGATTGTGTAAACTGTTAAAGATTTTTTTACCTTCTAAGCCTTGTATGATTACTGTATTCTGTCAAGCTTTTATCATTTTTATATAAATTTATTTATAATTTTGAGATTTTTACTGTGTGAGGGACTAAGCATAAGGTGTGTTTATATCATCATTACCAAGTTTTTATATTTCACCAGTCTCTTCATATTCGCTTTGCAGTAAATCTCATACTAAATTATAAATAACTTCTTACTAACAAAAAACTTCTGTGCCAGATTAAGTTTTAAATATTAATAACATTTCATGTAGAACTTCTGGAATATAATATGCAGCAGAAGCAGTCTCAGATGCTGGAGATGCAAGTGGAACTCGGCAGTGTGAAAGACCGAGTGGCAGAACTGCAGGAGCAGCTGAGTTCTGAGAAAATGCTGGCTGCCGAACTGAAGAGCGAACTCGCACAAACGAAGCTGGAACTTGAGACCACACTCAAGGCCCAGCACAAACACCTCAAGGAGCTAGAGGCATTCAGGTGTGCCTAATTGCATGTTATAAGCCTATATTGGTGGAGAAAGTGGAGAATTTTGACATTAAGTATTGCAAATGTTAAGAAAATATAACATTGTACAAATGGGAATTCAAAAACGTTGTGGAACAAAATCCGTTATCCTTAAATTACATTTTTCCACAAACTTTTTGAAGCCTCTTCATCAATGATGTTTAGATAGCATGAAACTGTTATTTATGGAACTAACTACAGTTGAGAGGGAAAACAATGTAGTATTGGTAGAGAGAAAGACCAAGGGGTTGCTCTAAATAATGCCCTAATTTTTCCAAATTATAAAGTCATGATTACTGTGGCTTCAGTTCTACTTAAAATTTGTTACTGCATAAGCTAAACAATTTTGACATTTATTTTACCACCAAGTAATTTGAAGTGATACATATGATCTCAGTTAGGTACATGATTTACGTAGCTAAAATAACACCTGTGCTTATAGCAGTATAAATTTGTTGGTGTTGTAAATACTGAGTGTGTCTGCTTGCCAAAGTCACAGTCCAAGTTTAATTTGAACACTATACATGGTGATCCCCATAGTAGATAAAACACTAGGGGAAATTTGTATTGACATTATTTTGTTTGCATAGATAAATGGTGACTAATAGTTTTACTACTAAAGACAACTCATTTGAAATGAATCACCGTCTACAATCTTTAACCTTTACATGTTTTATTTCTTCCCATTTAGCTGGTTTATAATATGCCTCAATCTAGTGGGTAACTTTTCGGTGGGTGACTTTTCAGTGAAAGCTGGGATTTGTTCCCTCTTAGTCTATTCTTAGTCAAAATAATTCTATAAAAGTTCATTTGCCTCTTTAATTTAGGTTGGAAGTTAAAGAAAAAACAGATGATGTACATTTGCTTAATGATACATTAGCAAGTGAACAGAAAAAATTGAGAGAGCTCCAGTGGGCTCTGGAGAAAGAGAAAGCCAAATTGGGACGCAATGAAGAACGGGATAGAGAAGAACTTGAGGTAGTATTATCTTTGTCTTAAATGGTACCAGAAAATCCAAAACAAGAGACTCTTACTATAGTCCTCTTGCTAAAATTGTAACAATAAGGTTTTCACTACTAGTTGAGTACTAATATAAGTTATCTAAAATGTATCATAAAAATGTTAATGGTGTGATGACTGTTTTGCTACATCAAAGGATTTCTCTGTTGCCACATATGTTTCGGTGATACAAATTATTTGGTAAATAGAGAAATTGGGTTGGTTGATATAGAGATAGTGTTGGCTTCTGTAATGGTTTTCTCTTGCTCAAGGAGACAGGACAATGGGAGTAGAATGACCCAACTCGTCATCATCGGGACCTTTTCTGGTAGCAGGAGCCCTTAATGCTATAGTTTTAGAAGATTTTTAATGAGTCCTTTCTCTCCCAGCAGTGTCCCAGAGGTCCAGACCCAGCCTTCCCTGGCTCTCAGCTCCAGGCAGCTTATGCTGTGACCCACGCCCACTTGAATTGGAGCTCAACTTCCATTCACATCATCTTTCCCCCTGGCTCTGTTGCCAGCATTTCTGCCCCACTGCTTTATTTTTCTTACTATCCAGTGTGATAGCCTTCATGCATCCTGAGCTACTTATCTGGCAGGGGAGATAGTATCTCCCCAAGTTATGAATTTTTATTTTTTGATTACTACAAATTTGCACCAGTGTTTGTCCTTAGCCTTGTTTTCCCCATAAACATGACTTTTAGTATATGATATTGCAAAACACAGAGTTTTTCAGGAAATATCATATGAAGTGAGAATACATATATTTTTAAAGATTATTATCCTAAGGGCTAGTATGTCCTGCTTCATATTCCCTAGCCAGCTGTAAGAATGTTCTGGGGAAAAGTACCATTTAATTTACCAACCTTTTGTATGTATTTTTTGATGAAAATCAATACTTTGTCCAAGTAATTATACTCAGCCACTGAAAAGTTGATAAGCTGAATAATCTGTTCTGTATTCTATTACTAAATATTACCAACTTAATATTAATAAAAGCATAATTGTGTACTTAACAAAATCTCTTTAAACATAAATAAGTTCCTAAATTTTGTTTCCTTCTACAGGATCTCAGAGTTTCACTTGAGGGTCAGAAACAAAAGAATACTCACCTAAATCTACTTTTGGAACAACAGAAACAGCTTCTAAATGAATCACAGCAGAAGATAGAGTCGCAAAGAATGCTGTATGACACCCAGCTCTCAGAAGAACAAAGTCGAATCTTAGAGCTTCAAGTCCTTCTTGAATCTGAGAAAGTTCGAATTCGGGAAATGAGAGGTACCCTGGACAGGGAGCGGGAATTGTATGCCCAGCTACAGCGCAGTGATGATAATGGGCAGCCTCGGCCATCCGCACCATCTGAAGACCTGCTTAAAGAGCTGCAGAAACAGCTAGAGGAAAAACACAGTCGCATAGTAGAACTGTTAAATGAGACTGAGAAATATAAATTGGATTATTTGCAAACAAGACAGCAAATGGAAAAGGATAGGCAGGTTCATAGGAAGACTTTGCAGACGGAACAAGAAGCCAACACTGAGGGACAGAAAAAAATGCATGAGCTTCAGTCCAAAGTGGAAGATCTTCAGCGGCAGCTGGAAGAGAAAAGGCAACAAGTTTATAAGTTAGACCTTGAAGGAAAGCGACTGCAAGGAATTATGCAGGAATTCCAGAAGCAAGAGCTAGAGCGAGAAGAAAAACGAGAAAGTAGAAGAATTTTGTATCAGAATCTTAATGAGGTACATTGATACTTTGTTTCTTTTGTTTATTTTTGGGGGTGTTGAATAGAAATAAGGAGCGCAGATTAGAGTTAGGGCTATGGCTACTTCTAGGACTTTGATGTTAAAAGTTATGGTTAGAATTAGGGTTAAGGGTTGGGCTAGGGCAAGAAGTAAGGCTTGCTTGGTCTAGATTTTACAGTTATAACCAGCTTTATTTTTATTTATTTAATTTTTTCTTGAACTCTACTTGGTTTCCTCTTCATTTGAAGTTCTATCATTACATTATTCCCTTTTTCACTTTATGGCTTTTTCATTACATCTGTATCGCTAGTTCTCTATTTTCAGTTGTGTAGGTCCGTTTTACTTTGAGTACTTCCATATCGGCGTTCCACCACTGTCTTTCAGTTTGTTGTGCTCTGGTGGCTTGTGTGTTAATATGATGCTGGAAACTTTGTCACTGGTATTTTACATACCAGCAGGGTCACCATGGTGAACAGGTTTCAGTGGAGTTTACCGATGAAGACAGACTATGGAGAAGGAGAAACAGACCACTTCTGAATGGTTAGCCACTGAAACCTAATGAATATAAGTGGAACATTGTCAGATTATGCAGAAGATGAAAACTTTAAGAATATCAGCAGAACACTGTCAGATATAGTGCTGGAAGGTGAGACCCTCAGGTTAGAAGGCACTCAAAGTATGTCTGGGAAAGCGCTACCTCCTTAAAGTAGAGTTGACCATAAAGGCGTCAATGAAGCAAAGCTTTCAGGATCTTCATTTGCTAATTGGGCACAACTCAAAATGAGGAGAAACAACTGCAAGCATCTATCAATAATCAGAGTATGGAATATACAAAGAATGAATCTAGGAAAATTGGAAGTTGTCAAAAATGAAATGGAACACAAAATGAAAAATGGAACAAAAATGAAAAAGATCAATATACTAGGCATAGATGATCTGAAATGGACTGGTATTGGCCATTTTAAATCTAACAATCTGATGGTTTACTATACTGGGAATGTTAAATTGAAGAGGAATGGTGTCACAGTCTTCATCAAAAAAGACTATTTCAAGATCTATCTTGACGTACAACGCTGTCTGATAGGATAGTGTCCATACCCCTACAAAGAAGACCAGTTAATACCACTATTATTTCAATTTGCTCACCAACCATTAAAACCAGTGATTATGAAATGAAGAATTTTGCCAACTTCTTCAGTGTGAAATTGATCAAACATGCAATCAAGATACATTGCTAATCACTGGTAATTGGAATGCAGAAGTTGGAAAAAAAAAGAGAAAGGAACAATAATTGGAAAATATGGCCTTGGTGATAGAAATTGTTCTGGAGATAACATGATAGAACTTTACAAGACCAACAACTAATTTTTAACAACATAGAAAGTGACTATACACATGGACCTCACCAGATCAAATACCTAGGAATCAAATTGACTGTATCTGTAGAAAAAGACACTGGAGAACTCAGTATCATCAGCCAAAATAAGGCCAGGGACAAACTGTGAAACTGACCATCAATTTCTCATACTTTTAACATGTTATCAGGAGGGACCAATCCCTGGAGAAGGGCATCATGTTTGGTAAAGTAGAGGGTCTGCAAAACAGAGGAAGACCCCAATGAGATTAATTGATACAGTGGCAGCAGCAGTGGGTACAAACATAACAATTGTGAGCCTGGCACAGGACCAGGCAGGGTTTCATTCTGTTATGCGTGCATAGGATCGCTGAGAGTCGAAACCTACTCAGTGGCACCTAGTAACAACAACATATCTGGCTTGAGTTCTGGTTTGTATTGCCTTATACGTAAGTCTTAAGTTGTTTTCTGTTGTTGGTTCTTTGTCCAAAAAACTCCCTTTAATACTTTTTTTAAGTTAGTCTGATTTTTTTACAATTTCTTTTAATTTCTGTTTATCTGAAAATGTTCTCATTTTGCCATGGTATTTGATGGGCAATTTTGCTGGAAATAGAATTCTTGGTTGACAGTTTTATCGTTCAGAGTTTTCTATGTGGTATTTATTCCATTGTCATCTTTTCTGCATGGTTTCTGCTCAGAAATCATAATTTAGTTGTATTCATTTTCTGTTGTAAGTAACTATTCTCAGGATTCTTGTCTTAGGTTTTGAAAGGTTTTATTATAATATGTTTTGGTGGTTTTCTTTTGGTGTCTATCCTGTTTGTAGTTCGTTCAACTTCTTGAATGGCTCTCTTCTCATTTCTCATGATGTTAGGGAAGTTTTCTTCCAACAACACTTAGACAGTATTTTCTATGGGTGTTTTGTTTTGTTAATTTTTGTGTCAGCCTGTTCTGGAATCCCAAACACAGGTAAGTTATTCCTCTTGATTACTGTTGTTAAGTGCCATTGAGCTGATTCCAAGTCATGGTAGCCCTGTATGAGGTTCCCAAGGATCAGCTGATGGTTCCCGAGGATTTGCAGTTCATTGCTGATCCCACAGCCTGATTCGCTCATAAATCTTAGGCTTTCTTCAGACTTTCTGTTCTTTTTTCTACTTGTTCTTCTAGTAGATGAATATTAAGAGATTTATCTTCATGCTCATTCATTCTGCCTTCCATTGATTCAATTTTATTTCTTTACCCTTTCAGTTTATTATCTATTACTGAAGTCTTAGTTTTAATCTTCTGACTTTCTAATTGCTGTTTTTGTATTATTTCTGGTTTTGTTTTATTTTTTTCATTTGTTTGGCCAATTTGTTTGCTGAATTCTTTATAGTTTTGTTTGTGTTTTCCTTGATCTAATTTACAGTTTTCTTGATCATTTAAAAAAAAAATTTTTTTTTTAATTAAAAAAAAATTCCTTATCAAATAGTTCCAATACCATCCATGGTATTATATTTAATGACTCTAGTCTGGTCACTTGTTTAAGGCACTCTGTCTTCAGCTTCATGTAAGCTGAAATTGTCTGTTTTCTCTGGGACGTTACTGTGTTGTATTTATATTTATTTAACATTTGTATATTGGTTTGTTCTCAAGCACTTGCCACCTGTCTCCTGGTGGATGTGGTAGAGACTGGGAATGTGAACACTGTTTTCTATTCACTATTTGTGAACAGAAACCACATTCCAGAAGCAGGGGTGCTTTACCCAGGGCTCTCGATCCCGAGCTGTGCCACTGGCTGCTGGACTGGCAAGAGCAGGGGCTGGTCACGCCCCCAGCTGCCAGGAAAGCAGGAGAACAGGGAGAACTGCACTCTCCAAGCTGCCACCCTCCAGCCACACCCAGTGCCTCCAGGCCTCTGTGTGGACAGCGCTCACAAAAGCTCAAGAAGGCAGAACCTCTCCCGCCTACACAGCTCACTGTTCTGCTTTCCTTTGACAGCACAGTCAGCAGTCAGTGCGCGCTCTGCCCTGTGCTCAGTGTGTCTGCCGTCTATGCCAACTTGCCCTGAACTTTAACAAACAGAAATTTTGTTTCTCACAGTTTGGGAAGCTGAAAATCTAAATTCAGTGCACTGAATAGGGGAAGGCTTTCTCTCTTTCACAGTTCTGGAGGAAGGGCCTTATCTCCTTGCAGTGTCTGTGGACTGGGCAACCTTGGAACTGTCCATGTGTTGTGGTCTCAGTCTTCCCTGAGTCTGAGTTGTCAGTGCAGGGGACCCATGTCCAAAGACCATGGTCCCTCCTTCTCTACATGGGTCCTCTTTTTTATATATTTTTAAGAGTTTTGTAGCCCTTTGACCATAAAATTTTGATATTAGAGGAAATTAGTTAAATAGCTACCTCAAAATCTTTTTCAAAATGAAATCTATAGAAGTCAGTTTGGAATATCAACAACACTCGTATTTTTGTAAAAGAGAATGTGTGATATGCTGTTTGTTTATATTTATTGCCTTTTCCTTCACGATCCAAAATCATCAGCCAACCACATGGAGTTTAACCAATGATCGAACTAGAAATTGGGTTCTTCAACAGAAAATAGAAGGAGAAACAAAGGAATCAAGCTATCCTAAGCTGATTGAAATCAATGGAGGAGGAATTGGATATAACCATGAATTAGAAATGGTCCGACAAAAGCTCCATTGTATGGTTTCAAAAGTACAACATCTCGCTCAGAAAGCTTCTAACAGGTTAGTCTTTGCTGTCTGATCTTTGGAAATGGCATTCTTAGGTAAGCTGGATAGAATTCATTACTGACCCTTGCTGAAAGGTAGAATTGGGAATACATGTTTACATTGTTGTTGTTGAGTGCCATCGAGTCATTTCCAACCCATAGCGACCCTGTATAGGGTTTCTGAGGAGCGGCTGTTGAGTTTGAACTGCCAACCTTGTGGTTTGAACCCACCTGGAGGTGGAGTGCTTATCCTATGGCGCCATACCAGGACTACTAATGTCTACATTAGGAGATGATATTCTTTAACAAATTTATACACCTGAAAACAAATACTTTAATTATATCTCATCCCAAGGGAAGAGTATCCTTAGTATAAGGGAGAAGCAATAAATAAACGAGATTGTTGTCTGACTTGGAATCTCTGTACCAATAACATACCAAATTCAGAAGGCACCTTTTAATTCTCTTTTTCTTTAAGACTGCAGTTTGAAACAGCTGATGATGAAGATTTCATTTGGATCCAGGGAAACATTGATGGAATTATTTTACAACTACAAAAACTAATTGACCAGGCAGTTGAAGAGGTACAATTTTCTGATGCTCTTTCCAAAGCATTGAAAGCAAAGGTTTTAACACAAACCATATTGATCATTGGAACCTGGTAGTGTATTTTTCTCTTTTTATTTATTTCATATATTAATCTCAGTGTTCCTTCCCAACCAATAGAAGATGTGAAAGTTTGAGGAGAAATTAACTGCATTACCATTTTTGCATAATGACATTGATCTTTTATCATATGATTTAGAGAATGCACTTCTAGAAAGAATAGTTGGTGCCCATTGCTGACGCCTGCTCACCCTCAGACAGCTGCCATTGCCTTCACAACTGACTGGTCTGGGAGCCTTTGCACCTTTTCAGTCCTCTGTACTGACTCTTCTGTAGCATTTTATACTTTTGGCCTCTTCTTCTTTACACCGTCTTCTTTCCTCAGTCCCCTTCACAGGCGCCTCTCCATCTGCATCCACCTCTGTGTTTTACTCTCACTCTGAGTGTTCAACCTCCTCTACAGCCTTAGCTCTCATTAGGCCTATTTATTGGACAAGAACATATATTGAGCAACTGCTCTGTTCTGGTACTACGCTAAGTTCTCAGGATATCATGAATTAAACTAATTTTTAAAACTTCCCCTTGTGGAGCTTACCTTTTAATGGACTGGTGTTGTAGTCTAGCCCTTCCTCCTCAGGGCTGAGCTTATATTTTCAGTTAGTTACTAGGCATCTTTCCCCACAGGAATGTTTGGAACTACAACTACAATCGTCTCATTCTCTTTCCTGCCCCATACTCACCTTTCTACCTATAGCCCTGATCGTGGCCATGGTAGCTCCCAGTTTGTAAAGCCAGAAGTTGTCATTAACCCCCTTCTTTCACTGTACTCATCTTCTAGGCAGTCACTAAAGCCTGTGCTCTCTGCCTACTAAATATCTGTTACATCTCTCCTTCACTCTGCAACCCTCAGTCATTGCCTTCATTCAGGCCTTTGTTGTTGTTACTGTTGTTGTTAAGTGCCGTCGAGTTGGTTCTGACTCACAGCGGCCTTGTATAGGGTTTCCAAGGAGTAGCTGGTGAGTTTGAACTGCCAACCTGGAGGTTCAAACCGACCTTGCAGTCCAGTGTTTTATCCCACAGCACCATTTCCCACATGGACTTTTACAACAACCTCCTGATGAGGCTCCCTGACAGCAGCGTCTGTCTCCCCTAACTCACTCTGCACTTCACACTGCTGCCACAGTTATCTTGACACATTAGTTTTGTTTGTGGCACACTCTTGTCTAAAGTCCTTCATGGCTCTCCATTACCTAAGGTAAGGTCTGTTATCTACAGAGTGTTGTTGTTAAGTGCCTTTGAGTCAGTTCTGACTCATAGCGACCCTGTATAGGTTTCTGAGGAATGACTGGTGAGCTTAGACTGCTGACCTTGCAGTTCAAACCAACCTTGGCAGTCCAGTGCATTAACCCACAGTGCCATAGGACTCTGTACCAAGCACCCTGTAGTTCTCCCTAAAATTAATGCATTCTTAGTCAGGTCTGGGGCACACATTCTTTTTCTTTGGTTTAGTATACATACCTTTCCCTGTCTTCTTTTCTGCTTGGTAAATCCTTGCTTATTATTTCAGAGTCAACGCAAGCATTCTGTCTCTTCACAAAAACTGTTGCTCTTTGTGCCTGCCCACATTTTATATACATTATTCACACACATTTTTGCTTATGACCTTATGCCATTTTTATTTTTATCTTTTAGCCTAGCTTAGTCTCCCCAAACACTACCTGTGGGTCATTGACTGAAAGACTACTGAGACAAAATGCGGAACTGACAGGACACATCAGCCACCTGACTGAAGAAAAGAATGATTTAAGGAACATGGTTATGAAGCTGGAAGAGCAGATCAAATGGTTTCGGCAGACTGGACCTGGGAGAGATTACGTATGTTTATTTTTGTCATGTTCACATGTTAGTTGTGCAGTGCTATATAATTCTGATTTTTAACTGAAAATTAGCATGCATGTGACTTTCAGTTGGATCTGTAGAAAATTTTTTTAGGAATGACAATAGTAAAATCAGTAGCTATAACTTATTGGGAACCTTTTCTACATTAGACTCTGAGTTATATACATACAAAATCTCTAATCCATAACCAGCCTTGCCCATGAGAAAGCTGGACTTAGGTCAGTGTTAAAGCAAGTTATGAATCCTGACTTGTCTCTAGTTATTTATCAGTTAGGGTGATTGTGACTCTCAGTAAAAAAAATGCTGTACTTATTTCACTCTGGAAACTTAAAATTCTTTCCCATTACAAAAAGATGTAAAGTAAATTGCTCGCTTCTGTAAGCAGCACCCAGTTTAAAAACAGGACAGACCTATTCGGCTCCCTTGTCCTGTGGCCCACACATGTGTACATGGTGGGGGTGCTGTTCCCTCCTTCCTAGTGCACTGTCTCAGCCACAAGCTCAACACATGCATCCAGATGGTTTAACTATGAAGTCTCTTGCCCCATTTTAGTCCAAAGCTCTGCTAAATCCGAACACCTTCACTAAGGCCAGATTTTCACAGGCTATTTGGTTTATAAAGCTAGTCTTTTGGTGAAAGGCCATATATTTATTCTTTAATGTCAGTTGATACAGGTTTTTACTTTCTCTGAGGTTGGAAAGCTGAGATTTCTATAGCCCCCTTGGAAATGCCTTTAATGTGTTTAATGTAGATTCCCTTTTCTCCCCCTGAAGAATTGCCTTTAAAAAACCCAAACACCATGAAAGTCAGATTTTGGTCTTTGCAGTCTTGTAGGTTTCCCTTCAGCGGTGGTGCCAACATTGCTACAATTATTGCTTCCGAAAAAGAAATCTGGAATAGAGAAAAGTTGTCCCTCCAGAAATCCTTGAAAAAGGCAGAAGCTGAAGTCTGCAAACTGAAAGCTGAACTGAGAAATGAAGCTCTACTTCAAAATCTGAGCCCTGATTCCGAGCATGCCACTTTAAAGGTAGGAGACGTGTTCCGTCTAAACATCCATCCCAGCCGAGCCTCTGCTTTCATCTCATTGATGTCAGACTAAGGAAATGATGTCACGAGTACAGGTGTGGAGCTAGTCATAAAAGGCATATGGAGAGGCATGCCAGGACTGGGACCAGATTACATCTCTATTAATGGGCACAGAGGCAGCACCCTGGGCCCTAGGTCCCTCTCCTCACCATCTCATCCTTAGGGGACCAACAGAATTTTATCTCTTCATTTCCCAGCCACAGCTCTACTACTGTTGCAAGAGTCTGATAGATGGTAGGTAATAAGCCCTCTGAATATCTTCTCTTTATGGACTAGTAATGAATATTGTCATAATAATTAATCAGTTAACATAAATCTAAAACAAAAAGAGAAGTATTTATCAAAGAACTATGGGGTGAACGTAAATGTGTTCAGGAAGAAAGTCATTCATATTGAAGACGTGAAATAGATTGGTTGTCAGAATAGTAGTAATAGTACAGTTTTAAACAAAAAAACTCAGATGATAATGAAATAACAAAGTTATTTTTATAAATTTTATGAATAGGAAGTAAAATTCAAAATAAACAAAAGTATAACCAAAACTGTAAGTTAGTATTCAGACTCCAATGACTAAAAAGAAGCAAAAGTAGAAAAGTTAAAAAATTTATGTTTACTTTCAAATTGCTAAAAGTATAAAACAATGGTGATGCACCTGCTGATCTATTCTTCTTATTCTATTCCTCCTCCTCCTTATTCATAGTATCGAGGTAATCTTCCCCTTTGGAGCTGATTATAGCGATTCTGTTACTACTGAGCCAAGGTCCTCCTAATGTGCCATTCTTTAGGACTCTATCCTGGATTATATTCCCACCTTACAATGTTTCTGCCTTACAGGAACAGACATTTATTCTCAGACAGTTTTGTTTTGTTTTCTATTGTTGGTGGGATTGGGATGGGGTTAGGAGTAAGGAGTTAGGGTTAGGACTAGACAGAGTCCAGGACTTCATTTAGTGTTAGGTTTATGGTTAGGACTAGGGTTAGTGTTTGGATAAGCACTCAACCACAAGGTTAGTTTGAACCACAGGGTCAGCGGTTCAAAGTCACCAGTCACACCTTGGAAACCCTGTATAGGGTCATTATGAGTCAGAACCGACTTATGGCACTTAACAACAAAGGTTAGTGTTGCAGTTAGGGATTGGATAGGGCTAGGAGTAAGGCTTAGTATAGTTTTAGGGTTATAGTTTCTTTGTTGTTTTTTTCCTTGAAATCTACTTAATTTCCATGTCATCTGAAAGTTCTGTAACTACATTAGTCACTATTTTTTTACTTAATTGTTGTTGCAAACTGGTATTTCTGATTCCTTGTTTTCAGCCTTGTAGGTTGGTTATCATCTGTACTCAAAGGAGTCTTGGTGTGGTACTGAAGGATAAGCACTGTGCCACAAGGTCAGTGGTTCAAACTCACTGGCCACTCCTTAGGAACCCTATACCGAGTCACTATGAGTCGGAACCGACTCAGCAGTACTTAACAACGTATCTGGGTTGAGTTCTGGATGACTTTGTCATCTATGTTGTTAGTCTCAAGTTGTCTGCTCTTGTTGATTCTCAGTCTAAAGAACTTGCCTTTATTGTTTTTTGTAAGGTTGGTCTGCTTTTTGAAAATTCTTTTAATTTCTGTTTATCAGGAAATGTATACCATCGTATTTTATGGACAGTTTTGCTTGGTATATGATTTTTTATTGTTTTTTTTTTCTTTCAGATTTTTATATGTTTTTTCCTATTGTCTTCTTGCCTGCATGGTTTCTACTGAGAAATCAGAGCTGTTTAGGTTTTCTGAGGCATGGCTATGGGTTTGGACCACAAACCTTGCAGTTAGCAGTCCGGTGCTTACCTTACATCACCACATATCTCCTAGATTCTGCTGAGTTCCATTTAAACAGAAAACCTTCAAAGAAATGTCTTATATTCTTTCAAAAACACTTCAAATTAATGAAAGTCTGTAAGTTAGTTTGGTATTAGTCATTTTAGTTATAAAGCAGGACTGTATGTCTAGGTTTCTAAAAAACAACTCTTGCAGAAACATTAATATTTTTCACTTTTCTCTCTTTTTCTCTTAGAGATAAAAGGCAGTCTCTTAGTAGTGGACAGAGCCCCATTGGGCAAATTTATGTGTTGTTCTGGTCATCTTGCAAAGGAGCCTTGGAGGTACTTAACCTGGTAGAATAAACACTGGACTGCTAACCACTATTCAAGCCTACCAGCTACTCTGGGGTAGAAAGAGGAGGGTTTCTGCTCCTGTAAAGATTTACAGCCTCAGAAACCCTATACAGGGTCACTATGAGTGAGAATCGGCTCTCGATAGCAGTGAGTGTGGGGGTTTTTGTTGTTGTTTTGTTTTGTTTTTGTCTGGTTATCTTTTAGAGCCACAAATGCACTTCTTGTCTGGATTCTGAGGAAAGAGTTCGAATGACTTCTTAATTATGTCTTTATATTCATACCTCGTTTAAACAGAGAATTTATGGTAAATACCTGAGAGCAGAAAGTTTCCGCAAAGCTCTGATTTACCAGAAGAAATATCTGTTGCTGTTACTGGGTGGCTTTCAAGAATGTGAAGATGCCACGCTGGCCCTGCTTGCCCGGATGGGAGGGCAGCCGGCCTTCACGGATCTAGAAGGTATCACCAACCGTCCAAAGGGCTTCACCAGGTTCCGCTCTGCTGTCAGGGTTTCCATTGCAGTTTCAAGGTAAAGTATTTGAAAGAGAATGTGTTTTAATAGATTTTGTAAAAGGATTCTGTTTTTGAAAAATCCCTATTTCTTGGCTGTTGTTCTCTGTATTCATGTGGTGGTGGTAGCTGTGTGCTGTTGAGTCAGTTCCAACTCAAGAGCGACCCTATACGGGGTTTCCGAGGTGGCAAATCTTCGCAAGAGCAGAAAACCTCATCTTTCTCAGGCTGAGAGACCAGTGGATTTGAACTGCTGACCTGGCAGGTAGCAGCCCAGTGCCTAACGCACTGCACTACCAGGGCTGCTTCTGTATTCATGTGTGGGAGACATTCGGCAGCACTAGAATCTGCTTGCTTGTTTTCATAGGTGCTCGTTCTTTCCGCAGGTGTGCGTTATGCTGTGCTGCATCAAATGCTAGGAGGAAATACAGGCATCTGGTGACTCAGACTCAGGGATGCCATAGGCAGACTGGATGCCTTTGTACACAAATCTGAATGAGCTCATGCATTAGCCCAGATATATAAATCAGAGATAATAAAAGGGAAAATGATTTTTAAATCTCCACCTTTGGCTGACACACTCATTTAGGCAGGTACTGAGCCTGGAAAGCGCTTGGCCTAAGTGCATCTGGTCAGAGATTAGTACTCAGGGCTTTGAACTCTGCCATCTCATCACCTAGTCCAGAATCTTATTTTACAGAAGAGGAAACAGTCAGGGAGAGGCTCCTGCACTGTTGGTAATACGAGTAAGTCTCCTACATTCCAGCCACCACCGGTGACTGTAGCAGAAGTCAGGTTTTAAGCTCCCTGTCCCCGGTAACTCTAGCAGAGGTCAGGTTTTAGGCCCCCTGTCCCCGGTGACTCTAGCAGAAGTCAGGTTTTAGGCCCCCCAGCCCCCGCTACTCCACGTGTAGTCTCTTAGTGTCTTGGTTCCAGTTCCTCTTTCCTCCCCTTTCAAGATAAGTACAGGAAATGCACTGTTGAAAAAGGCATGATCCTGGCGTACGGGCAGCTTACTTTCTTATCAGAAAGCCCACCTATATGCTTAAAAAGTAAAAAAAGAGAACCAACTGCCATTACCCAGTCAGTCCCGACTTACAACAACCCTGTATAGTGTTTCCAGCAGATTTGAACTGCTAACTTAGCAGTTACCTGTTCAGTGCACACGAGGACTCCATGATGAACCGACAGGACTGAGTGTAACTGCTCCCTCCCGAGGGTTTCACAGACTGTTGATCATTAACGAGCAGATGCCCTCATTTTCCTCCCTCTGACCAGCAGGTAGATTCGAACCACGAGCCTTTCAGTTAGAAGCCTCACATAGAACCCACTGCACCAGCCCGGCTCCTTGTGCACGTGACTTAGAAGACAGTCGTTTTGGTTAGAGGAAGTTGGAAAGGCTCCACCAGAGCTGTGGGAAACTTGCCCTTGAAGGACTTCTCACACACGGCCACCATCTTTCCTTGTTTTGTAAATCTACTCATCATATTTTGACACATCAAGAACTGAGCCTTGAAACTGATTAAGAAATCAGAACTGGCACTCCAAAAAGCTCGTGGGGCAGGATGGGGCGGGCACTAGATTGCTACATCTAGCACTGCCACCCCTGCCATGTGAGAGGCCACCTGAGCCCTTGGTCTGCTTTCCCAGCACTAGTTCACTCCTCTCACCTTAAGGGGTTTGTATTCTCTTTCCTCCTCATCTGCCCCTTACCCTCCATTTGTTGTTAGTGTTTATTATTATTATTATTATTACGTGTCTCTCTTCTTTGCTCATCCACTGTTCTCTGTTCTGTTTCTCTCTTTCTCATGTGTCTACCTCACACCCCTGAGCCACATCCTTATGCTGACAATTCAAGAGACCTCTGGTACCTGAAGCATGATTCCAGTAGATTTTTCCTCAAGTGCAGCGCATTTACATAGCTTTCCATTGGTGGTAGTGGTAGGGATGTGCTGTGGAATTGATTCTGCTCAGGGCAGAAAGCTTCATTTTTCTCCCACGGAGCAGCTAGTAGATTCGAACTTCTGACCTTGTGGTTTATAGCCCAGCTCATAATCAATCCACTACACTAGCAGAGCTCCTTAACTTTATTAAGTGGTTATAACAGTTATGGTTTTGCATCAAGTGGACTGGGCCAGGATTCTCAGTGGTTGGCAGTTAAGATTGTACCGCAGGATGTGATGTGATGAACCAAAGCTTTGGGATACACCACCATTAACCCCATCACCACCCTGTGGGAGACTTCCAAAGGTGTGGCATGTACACCTTTTATCTTACAAGAGATAAAAGGAGAAGACTTGAGCGGAGGACAGAGCCAGGAGTGGACTTCATCCTTTGATCCTGGGATCACTGCACTGTGAAGTTACTAGATCCAGGAGAATGGTGCCAAGATGTATAGACAATCTCCAAATACTGGGTCAAAAGATGCCGAGACAAGGACCTTTCTCCAGAGCCAAAAGAAAATGCCTTGCACAAGAGCCAGGATTATGAATTTGGTCTTGAAGCCTCCAAAACCATGAGAGAAGAGCATTTCTGGTTGTTCAAGCTGTCCACTGGAGAAACTTCTGTTAGAGTAGCACTAGATCACTAAGACAGCAGTTGTGTGATTATATTGAAATTTTGTTTTCAGGCATAAATATATGACTTGATCTTTGTGGGAAGTATATGTGTCATCTTTATATTATGGATATTTTGTGAAATTTTATCTTGGGATCTTTTTTAGAATGAAATTTTTGGTTCAACGATGGCATCGAGTCACGGGTTCTGGTTCCATCAATATTAACAGAGACGGCTTTGGACTGAATCCAGGTGAAGTCAAAATGGCATCTTTTTCCTACGTTGGTGATTCTGTAAAATCTGCCATGTGTTGTGCTTGTCCAAGTAACAAGTTCTAGAATTAGTGGTGCCCAGAGACCGAGTCCACCCTTATAACAGCCTGGTGCCTTTGCAGTTTGACAGACGGTGTCTGGCATGCTGATTCTTCCAGGTACCTACTCTTTTCATGCACTGTCTTAGATTCTGCCAGCCCTGTGATGCAGGTACAGTTCCTATGATGCTCACTGTCCAGGTAGGAAGCTGAGGTGTAGAAAGCCTGTGTCGTTGGCTCCAGATGACTCAGTAGAGAGGTGGTGGCACCAGCATCAAGCCCTAACAGTCTAGCTCCAGAGCCCTCACTCATGACTATATTTAAGGCTCTGCTTCAAAAGAAGACTACAGCTCACACATTAAGTAGAGGAGTTACGGTGTAAAACTCTCAATATTTCACTGTACTTAAATAGGTTTCTGAGCTTACCAATGGGTTACATAATAATAGCAACAATACTAGTCTGCTCACCACAAGATTGGTGGTTCAAACCCACCAGCTGCTCCTTAGAAACCCTATGTGAGATCGCTATGAGTTAAAACTGACTCGATGGCATTTAATCTTAATCAGCAGTGAAAACCAGTGAACCTTAGGGCTTGAACATTTCCGGCATCAGGCGGGCAGCACAGAGTTCACAACACAGCATGACTGTTGGGAATTGACATCCCACTGCCTACACAGAGCTTACCAGTAGTGAGCAGCAGAGAGAAGGGAGCCTAACCAATTGGCTTTTTGAAATATGCATCCTAACACTGTAGCATAATAAATAACAGGTGAAGTTTGTACCACTGTATTGAATTATTTAGTGCCGTCGAGTCGCTTTCAACTCATAGCTACCCTGTATAAGGTTTCCGAAGAGCAGCTAGTGGGTTTTCACAGCCGTTCAAGCTGACCTTTCAGTCCAGTGCGTACCCTAAAGTGCCACACCAGGACTCCCTGTGTTGTATTGAGCGATAGCAAATTGTGATTCCAAGTTTTTCTCTGACAAAAGTAGTGTGATAAAAGCTGTATTAGTCTAATATATTTTATCCACACCATCTTTTCACACTCAAGTGCTGGTGGGATAAAGCACTGGACCACGGTCAGTTTGAATCACAAGGTCGGTGGTTCAAACTCACCAGCTGCTCCTTGGAAACCCTATACAGAGTCGCTATAAGTCAGAACCGACTCAGCAGCACTTAACAACACATCTTTTCTACCAGACAACACACATCACTCTTTAACCTCTCATCTAGTTATAACTAAACAGTTTTTTTAAAAGAAAAGATTCCAATAGACTGATATTCAAAGATAAATAATATTTGAAAGCCAAATTTTTAGTTTACTATTGTTTCCCTCCTTTAACTAGGGTAATTTAAACCCTCAGTGAGATGATTCCTACTCAGTGACCGTAGAGGACCAAGTAGAACTACCCCATAGGGTTTCCAGAGCTATACACCTTTACACCTTTCTCCTGTGGAGGCATTGGTGGGTTCCAGCTGCTGGCTTTTCCAGTCAGCAACTTAGCACTTAACCACTGTACCACCAGAGCTCCTAAGGTTAATAGAAAATGATCATGACAGTGTGTCAGAGAAGAACCCCATAGGGTTTTCACTGGCTGGGTAGATTCAAACCTCCAGCCTTTCAGTTAGCAATCCAGTGCATGAACTGTTTGCTGACCCCATCCTTCCCCAGAGACGGGGGCTCAAAGTATAGAGGATAGCTGTCTTCTGTGCCATAATTTGTAGACGTTGTTCAAGGGCATGGTACTTTTTTTCTTCACAAGGTACACTTTGGATTAATTTAGGTGCTGACAAGACCGATCCATTGTACCATTCTTCTGGAGGGCTGGAGCTGTATGGAGACCCAAGACATAGTGCGTACCGGACGCGATCAGATCTGGACTACCCTAGGTCTCCTTTACCATTTCAAAATAGGTAAGAAGTTCATACAGTTTGCTTTGAATAGTTAACTATATTAATGACATTTTCAGAGAAAGATGACATTGTGAGAAGGCTTTGACATCTTTGCATTTTGTTATATATAATTTACATAAACCCTAAGGCTCAATCAGAACTAATTTTTTAAATTGTAACTATTTTCCAAAGTTATAAAAAACATAGTTGAACAGTTAGATTGTCAACAAACTATTATGCTGATTAGAAAATGGGAACATTATCAACTGAAATTGATAGTCTCTGGCCATTATGAAAAACAAAGTCTGTTTGAAAAGATAAATTCAGTAGCTACTGGAGAGCATTTTTCCCATTTCTAAATTCTTAGGCTTTTTTAGTGGTTTCTTTGAATTAATTTAGAGTTTTTCTTTTTAACTTTCCAAACTCAGAATCACAGGACATGCAGAATTAGACAATGTGCAGGGGCCTACCTTTCAGGGCCAGGGGTTGGGGCAGGTTGGTAAACTGACTGCATTGTTTTTGAGTGGTAACTTCATGTACGTATTTTCTAATCCTGTAGGTACCCAGGCCTTCCAGCTGATTTAAATCCTGGCTCCCTAGCCTGTTCTCAGCTTCAGAATTATGACCCTGACAGAGCCCTGACAGATTACATCACCCGGCTAGAGGCACTGCAGAGACGACTGGGAATTGTACAGTCAGGTCCGAGACCCAGAGCTCTCCTTTCTGTAGTGGGAACCCTTGGCCCTCCTTCTGAGGGTAATCAAATCTTCCAGTTCAGTTCTGTGTAACAGACAAACTGAGTTAGGAATTTAAGTAATTTTATGTAAAGATACGATTTACCACCCTGAATTCTACCCTGTGTCCCCAAAAGGGTTCCTTATTCTCATTCAGCAGGCTAAGATAAAATCTACAATGAGCACCGTGTATAAAGAACTCTGAGACTACAGCGTCTGTTAGACAACATGCCCCCCCTAAATCGTTCAGGGTCAAAAGCAGGCATACAGTCAAGGGGTGAGGAGAGAAGGAAAAGCTGTTACCATAAGCACTTACTTATTATACAGCCATTATCACTACTTTTCTGTGTGGTCAGAAAATTCAGAACTTTCTAAGACTGACCTTTCATTTTTCTTTTTGCTATAACAAAAAAACCCTGACACTTAAGAGGCCATTTCCCTTTCATGGGAAAACTGGTGCTTCTCTTCGATTTATTACTCATCCTGACTTTGATTCATTAGACAATTTTTTTTAATTTTTTTTATTAAAGACCCCCTTTTATCTGCTAGTCAATAACCTATAAGCTAGTAACAGGTTATTTAGTTTATTTGGACTCCTGGTCTGGTGCTATAGGATAAACACTAGACCACAAGGTCGGTTTGAACTACAAGGTCAGTGGCTCAAACTCACCAGCCACTCCTTAGAACCCCTATTCAGGGTCACTATGAATCAGAACCAACTTGATCGCACTTCACAACATATTCAAGAAATAATTTGTTTAATCCAATTAACTTGTAGTGAGAGGAAGCTTTCATGGCTGTTTTGTTGATTTGGTTTGGTTAATGAGTGTTGTCTTGTGAGACCAAGAATTTGAGGAGTAAAAGATTTATCAAGAGGAAGAAATTATAAAGCATTCACCCTACGGGGCACTTAAAAGAAAATCTTAACATTAGCTGAGCATATCTTGCCTTGGAGTCCTGGTCTGGTGCTGAAGGATAAGCACTGGACTTCTGACTACAAAGGTGGCAGTTCAAACACACCAGCCACTCCTTGGAAACCCTGTACAGGATTGCTCTTAGTCAGAACCTATTCAGTTGTATTTAACAAACCTTACTTTACTATGGAGTGCTGGTGTGGCACCACAGGATAGGTACTAGGCTGCTAACCACAAGGTCAGTGGTTCAAACTCACTAGCAGCTCCTTGGAAACACTATACAGGGTCGCTATGAGTCAGAACCAATTTGATGGTACTCAACAACCTTACTATAGAGCCAGCCACAGTGTGACTTTTAAATATATATCCAAAATATCTTTTAAAAACTAATTTATGAAAGAGTAAAACTTTCAAAGGGGAGCGTTCAGTATAGTAAAAGTAATATACTCCCCTGGGTGAACTCTTCAGAGTCGTATATCTGTCTAATTTGAAATCATTTATATGTCCTGCTTTTTCTCTCACAGGTTCAACTACACAGTTTCATGCTGGCATGAGAAGATAGTCCTTTGAAAACATCATCAATCAAAGTTATTTTAAACAAAATCCCTTTTATAAATCACTGGTTCTTTTGTGCTTTTGTATTGTGAATATTCAGTGGGACCAATAGGAACACAGCTTATGATTGTATGCAAATCCCTCGCCAGCACATGAAAACTGGAATTTGTATATAAGCATTGTGTATGCATTCATGCACAATAATCATTAGATTACCTGTATATTTGTGGAATGCTAATTTAAACAGTTAAGTTATAAAACCTCGTGTATTTATCAAATGGGTGAAGAAAAATTAAACTTTGGCACATTATGATACTGCTGAATGTGTAGCTTGAGATGTCCGGCAACTTTTCTTAAAAGGCTACTGAAGTTACATGTTTCTGCCTAATATATTTGCTACTGGTGATACAGACAGAAATATCACTCGTAGAGACCTATTTTTGTATAATGGTAGAAGTTTTGAATTTTATGGGGTATTTTGTCAAGTTCTGAAATAAACATTACTTCACCATTTTACCCACTGTACATGTGAACCTTCATTTTTAACAGAGCCGTGATTCGTGGTGCCCATCATCTCATTGTCTCGAATACACTGGACTTAGTGATTCCAAAAGAAAGTTGTCCTAGTTTTAGAATTAGAAACTATTTTTCTCCTCCCTTCATTGGGCCAGAAGGTTTTCCATGTTCCTTTACCATCAACCTTAAACCCAAACTGAACCCACTGCCATCGAGTTGATTCTGACTTAACCCTGTATTGGCTTCCCTAGGCTGTGTATCTTTACTGAAGCAGAAATCCTCTTCTTTCCCCCTCGGAGTGGCTATTGGGTTAACCATCAACCTTGGAGTTAGTAGTGTACTGCTTATCCTACAGCACCATCAGTCTCCATGATCAACCCTGCACCTATCATTTTTATAATGTTGTATTAGTGTTTTCATGATTAATATGTGCTTTATTAGTGTTATTTGTTACTGACCTCCAAAGATGTGTCCTTAATTAAGCCATGGCCCATTAAGATGCAGAAATCATTTAATGCAAAGAATTAGCTACAGAGACAAGAGTCAAGCAATATCGTACTGTCCAAACCAAATTCAGACTGGGAAGCTTTCACAAAGATTTGTTGTTGTTCATAAGTGCTGTCGAGCTGGTTCTGACCCACACCGGCCCTGTATAGAGTTTCCAAGGAACAACTGATGAGCTTGAATCACTCTACCGACTCTGGTTCAAACCAACTTTGCAGGCCAGTGCTGCACCAGGACTCCTTCACAGAGAGACTGTATTATAAATCTCATTGACATCTTATCAGTCCTCTCTCATACCAACTCACTAAAATGGCAAGAACGACAATGTTCGATGCTTACTCCCAGAGGATATGTCTTGCCGTTTGTTAACGACTTATGCACTACAAATAGAACAAGACAGCAAGTTAACCATTCTTGGAGATTACAGATAGCTAAATTTCTCATATTAGCACCTTGATTCCAATCACGGGAGGTATAGAAACAGCAGAGGTATTCTAAGCAACCAGCTTAAAGCTAGTGGGTAGACTTTCTCAACTAGTATGCCTTGCTGTTAGCATAGTTGTTACAAATCGCAAGGTCAGCAGTTCAAAACTACCAGCTGTTCCACAGGAGAAAGATGAGACTTTCTGCTCCTGTAAATTGACAGCCTCGGAAACCCTGTACAGGGTCGCAACCGACTCCACGGCACATAACGACGACGACAAGGCTCTTCTGCTCTACAAGGGAGAAAGGAGCAGATGGACGAGTAAGTTGACCAATCTGCATTCACTTTCACTGTATGAAAGTAGTTGTTAAGTCGGATCCAACACATAGCAACCCTGTATAGGGTTTCTGAGGAACAGCTAGTGGACTTGAACCACCAACCTTGTGGTTAGCATTCCAGTGCTTATCTTACAGTGCCACAGCAAGACAGGTATGCCTTCTTTTATTAGGCCTCTGCTGTCTTAAACTTGCTCGTGCTTCTCAGTAATTTTTTAAATTAAAACCTAAATCCTTTGATGCCTAAAACTATTCATTAGATATAAGCAACCCTTATTTTATGCAATGAATCATTTTCAGACATCTTCTCAAAATGTTTGCCAGTGTATGAAATGTATAGGGAAATGAAAGAACAATTGTAATTGTTTCATAAACCATAATTTTCAAAGTAGTGCTGGAAGTAAGATATTTTAGGAGATCTACAGCATTTTTAATGCAGCATGAAAACATCTGTGGCTTACATTGACAAAATCATGAGTACTGCTAATACTGCTGTGGTTTGTGGCCTACAGCCATAAATAACCAACAAACTACTGAGTCAGTTCCCACTCAGAGACCCTAGAGGACAGAGTAAAACTGTTCTATATGAGTTCCAAGACTGGACATCTTTATGGAAGCACATAGCCTCATCTTTTTCCTGTAGAGTGGCTGGTAGATTTGAACCACTGACTTTGCAGTTTGTAGCCCAATGTTTAACCCACTGTGCCAATCATGGCCCCTAATTCATAGTTAAGGGGAGTATTAAAGTGAAAGATGGAGTCCTGGTGTAGCACTGTGGGATAATGCACTGGACAGCACGGTCAGTTTGAACCACAAGATCGGTAGTTCAAACTCACCAGCCGCTCATCAGAAACCCTATGCAGGGTCGCTATGAGTCAAAACCAACTAGACGGCACTAATAATAAAGTGAAGGATGGGCACACAGTGGCTCCGTATGGTAAGTACTGGACTGCAAACCATAAGGTTCACGGTTTGATTCCACAAGTTACTCCACAGAACAAAGATTAGGCTTTATGTTCTCTAGAAGCTTTAAAACTTCAAAAACCCTATACAGGGTCACTGTGAGTCAGAACCCACTCTTAATAACAGCAACAGAGTGGAAGATCAGCAGAAAGGACGAAGGCCCCCAATGGGGCAGCAGCAGTGGGCTCACTCATGACAACAATTGTGAGGAGGGCACAGGGCCGGGCACTGTTTTCTTTCAGTTGTGCACAGGGTCACTGTGGGTCAGAGCCTACTGGATGGTACATAACAACAAAAAAATTGCTATTAAAAATCAGTGAAAATAAAGCTATGGGGTTATTTTCCCATTCACCTTCCTGGATGCGCTGAATTCTAACCAATGAAGTACATATAACATTCGTGAACACTGAGTATTTTGTTTTTTCAAAGAGAATTTTAATATGAAAAACTGTCCAACAGCAGAGATTTTTCCTTCATAATAATTAAATATGAATCTTCCAGCCTTTTTGTCTATAAACAAAACCGTACTAGACATAAGAGGAAAAATATTTTGGCCTCATCTAGTAAAGTCAGGTTATGTGGTCCAATTCTAGCATCTCACCTAGAAAGCCCCTGTTATAATTACGTTAAGTTGATTCTTGAACACAGGTTTTACAGAACACTTCTCCAAGGACCCTGGTTCCATGTCAGTCACACAGATCCTACTGCCAGTTTCAGATTTTGTATTGAAGGGGGTGAGAGGGAGTTTGTTAATCTAATTTAAATTTTAATTAGGAAAACTAGAAATGAAAACATTCCTAATTGGACACTAGGGAAGAAGCAGGGAACAACCTTGGATCAAAGACAACGATTTTCCCCTAAAGACTTCCACAAAGATGTGACCTTATGAAATCAGATAAATTATCCACCAGAGAGGTAAATATGTAGTATTTAGTAATTAGATACAGTTATCTGAGCAGATTTAGTAGTATTACATATATATATATATATATTTGTATAATATATATGTTTTAGGAAATATTACTGAAGCCATGGTCACAGATTCCTGTTTTCCTATGCACAGTGCCTTACTGTGTACAGAACAGTTCAAGCATTGCTGAGTGTCATAATATCATCGAAGAGCAACTGATGGCATTCTCTGTCATCCAAACCTTAAAACATGATAGTTATTCCCTAACCTCCCACCTCCCCGCATGCAAAAATAAGTCCCAGGTAAACGAATAACCTATGGCTTCCAAGTACTTCACTGGGCTTCCTATACCTTGAACTAGACCTTGTGTTTAATTTCCAAGGACTATATATGCTATTATAATTAGCACCAAGAAATTTTTATTTGTATTACTTAGAATCTCACAAATGCCTAGATCATCCCTAGAGAATTCTGTTACAAATGAGCTGTACTTCATTAAAGCACATATAAACAGTATTCATCGCAAAACTATTAGAAAGTATTGAAAAACCACCATAATTGCATGGAATCCTTCCATTAATAAAATGTAAAAATCTTAAACAGCTATCTTTAAATTACACACTCAAAAACAGTTGCACTAGGAGTTGTTTCCAATCTTTGTTCTCTTCAAATGTTTGTGCAGCTGACAGTGATGGTTCACACGTAAGTTCTTGCCACCTTTTTCATTTTGCTCTTCGTTTATATCGGATAATTGGTCTTTCAGGGGTGTGAATCATGGTTGTATAATTCACACTTGGAAAATATCCATCGATGAGATCAAATTCATATAAACGAAGCATAGTGGACCAAATTGTCTTGATTTGAACATAGGCAAAATTTTCACCAATACATCGATGACGCCCTGAAAAAAAAATTTTTCGTAAAGACTCAGTTTAAATCCTCTTTTTTCATTTCTTTTACCCTAAAGTAGTAAATTTTGCTTATCTGCAGTTTAGATGAACAACAGATACAATGCATATATAATAAAGTATATAAATGTAAAACAATCCTAGATATTTCCCGTGTCTGTTTTTAAAAAGAAAAAAAGTCTTAGCTAATGATATAATTACTTTTTAGGAAATTCAACATTTATTCAGGTTAAACATATGTAAGACTTAAATAACAGCATGATCATCAAAACTTCGGGAATTATACTAAAATTGGTATATTGGCTCTGTGCCTAGAGTTGTTTTTGTTAAATGCCGTCAAGTCAGTTTCAACACTGTATTTGATGTCCAAGGAGCAACTGGTGGGTTTGAGCCACCAACCTTGTGGTTAGCAGTCCACTGTTTACCCTCCAGAGCCACATCAGGACTTCCTCTCCCTAGAGGGTGCTAGTTAAACAATCCTGCAATAACAGTAATAACAATAATCTATGAGTAAATACATAGGCAGTCTGGACAGGTGTAAGAAGGCAAATGAAATGGACTCAACAACCGTGTAAAGTGTTTCCGAGGCTGCAAATCTTCAAGGAAGCAGAAAGCCTCATCTTTCTCTGTCAAGAGCAGCTGATGGGTTCCAACTACCAACCCTGGCATTTGAAGTCCGGTGCTTATTCTACAGAGCCACCTCATACCAAAATGGAACTATAGCCACAAACAATTTGACAGGATATTTCTACACATGTACTCTATGTGCCGCAAATATAATCAAGAACATAACAGAACATACAGGGGGCCAACTTAAGAAAATCATAGCCATGACAAACCCCTGAGCGGGGAATGAGTTGCTGAGTCTGGGTGTCTGGATCACAGGCTTGAGGGACATCAAGGTCAACTGGTATAACACATTCCACAAATGTTCTATTAACATCCTACTTTGGTAAGTGGGACTGGGATCTTAAAAGCTTGCAAACGGCCATTGTACAATAGTACAACTATTGGTCTTTCACTATCCTAAGCACAGAGTAAAGAGGAAAATAAATAAATAACAGAAGATTCATAGAAACTGCCCAGCGGGACTAATTAATCATGCCAACACCAGCCTCTAGGGATCCTGAGACCAGAAGCTAGTTGGTACCTGGTTATCATTACCAACTGCTCTGAAAGGGATCAAAATAAAAGGTTCTGGACAAAGTGGAAGAAAAATGTATAATAACAAAACTCAAAATTATAAAAAAGACCAGGTTTACTAGTCGGATAGACCGAGGGAATCTCCAAGACCACAGTATTAGTTATCCTTCAAACCTGGAGCTGAACTCATCCCTGTGGTTCAACTTCCAGCCAATAATAGGTGGGCCCCTTAGAACAATCGACCACGCAAAATCCAGAGGGCAAGCAGGGAGAAAGTTCCCGAAATAGGAAGTGTCAACACGGGAAGCAGTGGGAATGTCACATGGTGGAACTGGAATCAATGTCAAGAAATAAAAAGTGCCATATGGGAACCAGTCAGCTCTATAAACTTTCTCCCAAAACCACAATAAAAAGTTAAAAAGAAAACAGTTGTTAAAGGTCATATATATGCTGATTCTAAAATGCAAAAACAGGATAGCCAAAGTATCTTGAAAAAAGAAACACAAAGTTAGAGTATTTCTATTGTGTGACTTCAAGATTTATTAGAAAGCTACAGCCACAAAAAAGTGTACCGGTATAAGGATCAACAAATAAAACAACGAACCCATTAGCCCAGAAATACTTTTGTTGTTGAGTGCCATCAAGTCAGTTCTGACTCATAGCAACCATGTATAGGGTTTTCCTAAGAGCAGCTGGTGGGTTTGAACCACCAAACTTAAAGTTAACAACCTAGTGTTTATCCTACAGTACAACACCAGGACTCCTAGAAATAACTTTATGTTTGATTATCAACAAAGACACTAAAGAATGCCTTTTCAACACAGGGCGCTGGGATAACCATGCATATGAAACTGTGCAAATCTTACCTCACACTATACTAAAAATTTAATTCAAGATGGATCACAGACCAGAACATAAACATGAAAACTATCGAACTTTAACAGAACATCTTCAGGATTTGGGGACAGACAAGACCAGAAAGAAATCATCATCATCAAAAATTGATAAATTAGACTTAACTGAAGTTAATGCAAGTGTATTCATTTGTCAAATCTCAATGAGTGTCAAGATTTGGCCGTGCCACTACATAAATTTTATCTCATTTTATTGTTAGATGCTATCAAGTCAGTTCCGACTCAACAGAACAAAACACTGCCCAGTCTTGCGCCATATTCACAATTATTGCTATGTTTGAGCCCATTGTTGCTGCCACTGTGTTAATCCACCTTATAAGAGACTTCCTCTTTTTCACTGACCTTCTATTTTACAGAGCATGATGTTCTTTTCCAAGACACTGGTCTCTCCTGACAACGTGTCCAAAGAACCTGAGATGAAGTCTTAACATCGGAGCATTCTGGCTGTAATGCTTCTAAGTTAGACTTGCTCTTCTGGCAGTCCATGGTACTTCAACATGCATCAATTCTGTTTTCCTTATTCACTATCCAGCTTTCCTATGAAAATGAAGCGACTGAAAATACCATGCATGAGCACCTTAGTCTTCAAAGTGACATCTTTGCTCTCTAACACGCTAAAGAGATCTTTTGCGGCAGATTTGCCTGATACAAAATTTCTTGGCATAGACTAATGAGTGCTTTCAAGACTATATCTGTTTGTTAAACATGTCAATTGATAGTCCATCAGTTAATTCCTAGAGCCTTGTTTCTCGCCAAATCCTTCAGAGCAGCTTGGACTTCTTCCTTCAGCACCATTTGTTTTTGAATATAGGCTACCTTCCTGAAATGTGTGACAACATCAGCCACTGCTTTTTAGTGCAGTGCCTGTGTAGCCTATACTGTCTTCAATACTGCAAATCGAGGCTTGCATTTTGCTCTTCAGTTCTTTCACTGAGCAGGTTCTTTTATTTTAATTTTCTTAGATGTTAACATTTTGCACATTTCAATATAATACTTTGTCTTCTCAAGCTATCCTTTGAAGTTTTATGGTCAGCTCTTTTACTTCATCAATTCTTCCATTCACTTTAGCTTTTCTCCGTTCAAGAGCAAGTTTGAGAGTTTCTTCTAACATCCACTTTGGTCTTTTCTTTCTTTCCTGTCTGTTAATTGACCTTTTGCTTTCCTCATCAATGATGTTCTTAATATCACCCCAAACTCCTCCGTTCTTCAATCATTAGTGTTTGATGCATCAAATCTATTCTTTAGATTGTCTCTAAATTCAGGCGGAATATACTCAAAGTCGTATTTGGGATCTTGCTGACATACTTAAATTTTTTCAGCTTCAACCTGAACTTGAATATGAACAACTGATAGTCTGTTCTGCAGTCAATCCCTGGCCTTGTTTTGGCTGATGATGTTGAGCTTTTCCATCTTCTCTTCCCACAGATGTAGTCAATTTGATGCCTGCGTATTCCAACAGATGAGGTCCATATATAGTCATCATTTATGTTGTTGAAAAAAAGTGCTTGCTATGCAGAAGCCATCTTGTCACACATTCTCCAGTATCATTTCGATCACCAAGGTCATATTTTCCTACTGATCCTACCTCTTTGTTTCCAACTTCCACATTCCAATCATCAATGCATACTGATTGCCATTTTTGATCAATTTCAGACTAAAGAAGTTTGCAGAACTGTTCAAATTCTTCATTAATAATTGTATTAACTAACTGGTCTTTCTTTTAGGCAGATAGATACTGTCCTATCACAGACAGTACTGCACTTCAAGATAGATGTTAACTTTGATGATGAGACGCTGTTCCTATTGAATTTGTCCTTCTGCCAAGCAGACCATATGACTGTCTGCTTCAAAATGGCCAATACCAGTCCATTTCAGCTAACTTATGCCTAAGCTGTCAATCTTTATGTGTTCTATTTCATTTTTTTTCTTTTAATGTTCTCTTTTATTTTTTAATGTTTTATTGTGAATTATATGATAGTTTACATGAGTGAACTTTAGTTTTACATTCATTCCATCATATATCATTTCATTGCCATGTTTCCAATCCACTCCATGCATCATCAACTGACCTAAGGGTTCTATTTCATTTTTGACAACTTCTAATTTTCTTAGATTCATACTTCATACATTCCACGATCCTATTAATGAAATGGAGTCCTGTGTGGCACTATGAGATAACGCACTGGACCACAAGGTTGGTTTAAAACACAAGGTCAGCAGTTCAAACTCACCAACTGCTCCTTGAAAAGGGTATACAGAGTCACTATGATTCAGAACTGACTTGACGCACTTAACAACAACAATTATTAATGGATGTTTATAACTGTTTCTTGTCATTTTAAGTCATGCTTCATTAACAGAGGTAGATCCCAAAAGCTTTGCTTCATCCACGTCATTAAGATTAACTCTATTTAATCTCAAAAGATAACTGGAAAATACTGAAGGCTAGATAACGACATGCGTGCTGAAATAAGAGGTGTATTGATGTGTGTGACTGACTTTGAAATGCATCTAAAAAGTAAGATGAATCGAGGGATGGGTACATATGTGGTAAAAACAAGCATATGAAAACGTAAATGGAGTTATCTAGGTAGTGAATATATAAAATTCTTCTGACTACAAAATTTCCTGTTAAAATGTTGGAGGAAACTTAATAACGTAAAATAATTTGTACTTTTTAAAAGGTCACACACATAGAAGCAAATTTTATAAAAGATGGTATTAGACATTTGAGCCAACTTTCAAAGACTCTACTTCAAAAATGTTAGGGATTATCCCTAAAAGGAAAAGATGTACAAAAAAATCCACAGGGATTATTTTCACAGGAATAAATACTCATATGTTATCCAAACAAATATTTAAGGTCTAAGATGTAGTCTTACCAGCTCCAAATGGTACATAGGCAAACTTCTCTCCTGATGCTGGGTTTTCCTGTAAGTAGCGATCAGGATTAAAGTCTAGACGTTCTGACCATGAGTCTTTAAGTCTTTGGTTGACAGTAGGAGACACACACACCTGGTGACCTGGAGGGATGGTATACCCTGCCACAGTCTACAAAGGAAACAACAGAGTCCTTTAGAGACCTGGAAAATATTCTAACAAATGATCCTATCATTATGTAACAAAGCAGTAATATGTATGAGATATGCATATATTTTACAACTAGGTTGATAACTAGGTCAGGTAAAAATTATTCTAATTCAAAATTATTTCTAAATGGCCCAATGTGGGTTGAAGTACATATAAAAATTAAAAATAGTCGTAATACCTTGGCAGTAAAGGTAGAATTTCAGGATGCCTGGTTTATAAACTTCTATACGGTTTGAATTTTTTACAACAAAATAGATACTACTGTTGAAAGCAAGAAGTGGAAAAAGAAATCCATTGAAAAAGCCTACATTCATGTTAAGTGAAAATACAGTAGACACACTAGCATGCAATTATGGAAAAATATGTGTATATTTAGAATATATAAATTTTTTAATTATGTAAAAGTATTTAATAACTTACTTTTTTATTTTTAAAATTGTTTGATACTAATATATATCCTCTTTTTTTTATATGTATTTTTAAAGGGGAGGGGGCTTTACCCATAACCTTACCTGCGGAGTTCTGGCCATTCTCATCATGGTCATTACAGGAGGTCTAAGTCTTAATGTTTCCTTAATACAGCGATCAAGTAAATTTAAGTCCTTGAGCTAAAAAAGAGAAAACATTTTCAGATTTGTGCAAATTATTTAACACACCTCAACAGTATAAAAATGATCATTAACATTTTGGTTAGTACAAGATTGCTTGCATTCTGGGTGAAAGTGCAGAAGTAAACAGGTCAGGTAGCAGGGATGACCTTAGTCTATCACTTCTGTGGGCGACAAGGGAAAAAGGAAGAACAAGGTAACAGTGGAGAGATGACCCTGCAAACTGGATCCTAGGGACATTCCAACAACAACAGCTCCTCTAAACTTAATGACCTTTCCCAAAAAAATTATCCTAATTAAATTTTTTTAGAACTCTGGAAACTACCCAGTCTTCCAACAATCGAAGGGCAGTTAATTCACTAAAATGGCTCAATCTTGGTAAGAACACTGAGCTCTGTGATGCTATAATTCGCCCTGTTCTCATTTTCCTCTCTCCAGCTCCATGGTACTCTTGTAAACCAACTACCTGGCAACTACAGCAGCTATGAAAACAGCAGCCTAGCCAGTCCTAAAAGAGGCAGAGCAGGTTTAGAGGACCCCAAAGCCCTATTCCCGAGATCTGTCATTATTTGACTTATCTGGCAGCTCCCTGAAAAATTCCATTCTCAGGACTTATCTTTATTGTATCTGACTCAGAGCTCTTTCTGTGCAAACAGCCTAATCCCTAAAGTGTCTGCCAAAAGCAATTAGCAAAAATATCTTAAGATAACACCTGTCTGAGAGACCAATATCAGCTGCAGATAACAAGAGTTGGACAAAAAGCTTTTAAAGAAAAATTGGGCAATAAGGTATCCAAGGGAGACTGATATATTTCTGGAAATCTAGAAGGCTGTGCAGAAAACCAAGACAAATTTGAGAGGACTCTAATGTCTAATCTAACTATGATGATGAATTTTATGTGTTAACTTGCCTAGGCTATCATTCCTAATTGTTTGACAAAATATTAGTCTAGCTGCTATCATGGAGTACAGCTACATGTTAGCATGGATTGATGTGTGTTCTCCGTAAATATGTGCCAATTTTGTTAGGCCACGAATTCCAACATTGTGTTATTACCCTCTATTTTGTGATAATTGTTCAAATCTTAACATCTGCCTATGGTTTATGAGGCAGGTATAAGGTCAGAGTTAAAAAAGAGGAAGACCTTGAACAAGATGGATTGACACAGTGGCATACCAATGGGTTTGAAGTTATGAACAATTGTGAGGATGGCACAGGACCAGACAGTGTTTAATTTTGTGGTACATGGGGTCACTATGAATTAGAATGAACTCAGTGGCACCTAACAACAACAACAAGGAGGATTAGATTGTTATATAAATGAGGAAGGATTATGGTGGGATGCATCAATTTTCCTTAAGTTACCACCCTTACTCAAATCATGGCCCTGATCCCATTAAGGGAAACTTCCTTAGGGTGTAAACACCATCACTTTTCAATCTTACAAGAGAGAAAGTAACCGAGAAGAAGGGACCTACTACTACCAACAGAGAAGACCAAGGAATGGAATGTGTCCTCTGTACCCAGGTCCCTAAGCAGACCCTTGGGAGGAATTAGAGTTATACTACAGCAGAGTTTTTACACACAATTGGTATAATTTCATGGTAGATTATTTTCAGATAAAATGCTACTTTTGATCCCTATGGCAGAAAATAAGAAATAAACCAGAAATATAGAGTAAAAGAAGCCAATAAGGGAGCTAAAATGTTACACTAGAAAATATCTATTTAACACAAAACAGGAATGAAAGCCTGGTGGTGTGGTGGTTGTATGCTGTGTCAGTATAGGGTTTCTGAGGCTGTACATGTTTACAAGGTATAGAAAGCCTCATCTTTCTCTTTCGGAGAGGCTGGTGGAGTCAAACTACTGACCTTATGATTAGCAGCCCCATGCATAACCCACTACATTCCTCCTTAATGAAAGAAAGCACAGAGAAAACAAAAAAGTCATAAAGCAAACAGAAAACAAGCGAATATAAATCCCACCTTATCAATAATTTAAACAGAAAACAAGTGTGAATATAAATCCCACCTTATCAATAATTTAAACAGAAAACAAGTGTGAATATAAATCCCACCTTATCAATAATTATGTTCAGTATAAATGGACTAAAAAAACACTGCTGGCACTGTAGAATAAGTACTGGGCTGCTAACAGCAAGGTGGACGATTCAAACCCATCAGCCACAGACAAGGCTTTCTGCTCCTGTAAAGATTTAGTCTTAGAAACTCTCTACAGGGTCAGTGTGAGTCAAAATCAACTCAACGGCAATGAGTAAGTGATAAATGGACTAACCACTCAGAACATGAACTAACTATATGCTGTCTACAAGACACACTTTAGATTCTAAGACATAATTAGGTTGAAAGGAAAATGATGAAAAAGATATATCCAACAAAGAATATCAAAAGAAGAGCTGAAATTGCTATTTAAGATCAAAGTAGATTTTAAAGCAAAAACTGACAGGACAACACTATTAACCAACCACATTTCAGATATTTATAGAACACATCACCCATAAACAATAAAATACACATTGTTCTCAAGTACACACTGAGTATAGTATTAAAATACACATTGTTCTCAAGTACACACTGAATATAATATTTTAGGTCATAAAACAATTCTCAATAAATTTTAAAAGATCAAAATCATTCAAAGTATCTTTGTCAACCACAATGGAATGATCCTAGAAATAAGAGAAGGAAAACTAGAAAATTCAAATACATGGAAAGTAAATACTATACTTAAACTATCAATGGGTCATAGAAGAAACTACTAGGGAAATTAACAATACCATTCAATGAATATAAACAAAGACACAAGATACCAAAACTTAAGGGATATTGCAAAAGCAGTGCTCAAATTTTTAACTATAAACACCTATATTAAAAACAATCAATTCAATAACTTACTCTTGTTCCTTAATAAAATAGAAAAAGAACAAATTAAAACCAATAAACAAATAATTTTTTAAATAGGAAAAAGTTCCTTGAAAATATTTGTAAAATTGATAAACCTTTAACTAGACTGTCCAAGAAAAAAAAAAGATAATTTTAAATTTCAGAATTATAAAGGATTATAAAGAATACTCTGAAAAACTGTATGCCAAAAAAGTCAAATAACTCAGATGAAATAGAAAAATTCCTACAAAGGTATAAAGTACTGAAAGTGATTCAAAAAGCAGCAAACTATTTCCCTAGACCTATATGTGGCAGTCAGCTTCTGTAAAGAGTGTGATGTTGTCAGATACCTTTGAGTCAATTAAAACAGAATGAAACACTGCCTGGTCTGGTCCTGTACCAGCCTCACAATTACTGTTATGTTTGAGCGCACTGCTGCTGCCACTGTGTAGATTCATCTAATTGGAAGTCTTAGTCTTTTTTTGCTGACACTCTACCAAGTCTGATGTCCTTTTCCAGGGACTGGTTCCTCCTGATAGCATGTCTATAGCATGACAGACAAAGTCTCACCATCCTGGTTTCCAAGGAACATTTTGGCTGTCCTTCTTCCAACACAGATTTGTTATTCTGGCAATTCATGGTACTTTCAATATTTTTTTCCAACACCATAATTCAAATGCATCAATTCTTATCCAGTCTTACTTATTCATTGTTCACTTTCACATGAATATGAGGCTATTGAAAATACCAATGCTTGGAGCAGGCACACCTTAGTCCTCAAACTGACATCTTTGCTCTTGAACACTTAAATCTTTTGCAGCAGATTTCCCTAATGCAATTCATCATTTGATTTCTTGACTGCTGCTTCCATGATTGTTGATTGTGGATGCAAACAAAATGAAGCTGTTGACAACTTGAAATTTTTCTCCATTTACCATGATGTTATTTATTGATTCAGTTGTGAGGATTTTTGTTTTCTTTACATTGAGGTACACTCCATAATGAAGGCTGTGCATCCTAAGTATTTTAAGCTGTCTTTGCTTTCAGCAAGTAAGGCTGTATCATCTGCATATCAGAGGTTGTTAATGACTCTTCCTCCAAACCTGATGCCATTCTTCTTCACATAATCCAGCTTCTTGTATTATCTGCTCATCATACAGAGTGAATAAATACGCTACACACCTTTCCTGATATTAAACCATTCAGTATCCCCTTGTTCTGTACGAACAGCTGCCTCTTAGTCTATGTATAGGTTCCTCATGAGCACAAATAAGTGTTCTGGAATATATATTCTTCACAGTGCTATCCATAGTTTGTTATGATCCACATAGTCAATAAAGCACAAGTACACATCTTTCTGGTATTCCGTGCTTTCAGTCAAGATCCATCTGACATCAGCAATGATATCCCTAGTACCACATCCTCTTCTGACTCCTTCTTGACTTCACTGCCAATGCACAGTTTTTGAATTATCTTCAACAAAATTTTATTATCATGTGTTATTATTGTGTTTCATGTTTCATGTTATTATTAATGATGCTGTTCAATGATTTCTCCATTCCATTGGGCCACTTATCTTTTGAATGTACACAAATATGGATCTCTTCTAATTGGTTGACCAAGTAAGTAGCTGTCTTCCAAAGCTCCAGGCATAGATGAGTGAGTACCTCCAGTGTTGCATCTATTTGTGGAATTTGTATTCCATCCATTCCTCAAGCCTTGATTTTCACCAATGCCTTCATTGAAGCTTAAACGTCTTTCTTCAGGTCCATCAGTTCTTGATCATATGCTACATATTGAAATAGGTGAAGTTGAGCATATCTTTTTCAGTACAGTGATTCTGTGTTACATCTTTTTTGATGCTTTCTGCATCATTCAACATTTTGCTCACAGAATCCTTCAGTATTTCAAGCCAAGACTTGAATTTTTTCTTCAATTCTTTCAGCTTGAGAAATGCTGAGTGTGTTCTTCCCTTTTGGTTTTCTAACTCCAGATCTTTACACATTTCATTTTAATGCATTGTCTTCTTAAGCTGCCCTTAATTCTCTATTCAACTTTTACTTCCTCATTTCTGCCATTCACATTAGCTTCTCTGTGTTCAAGAGTAAATTTTTGATGTCCACTTTTGTCTTTCTTCTCTTTCCTGTCTTTTAAATGACCTTTTGCTTTCTGCATGTATGATGTTCTTGATGTCATCCCACAACTCTACTGGTCATTAGTGTTTAATGCATCAAATCTGTTCTTAAGATGGTTTCTAAATTCAGGTGAGATATACTCAAGGCCATAGTTTGTTCTCGTAGACTTGTTTTCATTTTCTTTAGCTTCAGCCTGAACTTGCATGAGTGACTGGTATGTCTTTTTCACAGTCTGCCATTGGCCTTATTTTAGCTGATGAAACTCAGCTTGTCCAATGTTTTTTCCCACAGATGCAATCAATTTGATTCTTGTGTATACCATCTGGTGATGTTCATGTGTACAGTCACTGTTTATGCTGTTGAAAATGTTATGTGCAATGAATAAGTCACTGGACTTGCAAAATTCTATCATGCGGTCTCCACCATCATTTCTGTCACCAAGGCCATATTTTCCAATTACTGATCCTTCCTCTTTGTTCCCAACTTTCACATTTCAATTGCCAGTAATTGTCAAACACGATTGCATGTGTGATCAATTTCAGACTGATGAAGTTAGTAGGAGTCTTCAATTTCATCATCACTGACTTTGATAGTTGGTGCATAAATTTGAATAATGAATGCAGCAACTGGTCTTCCTTGTAGATATATGGATATTATCATATCACAAACAGCACTGTACTTAAAGACAGATCTTGAGATGTCCAACAACGAGTGTGATGTTATTTCTCTTTGTGATTCCCAGCACAGTAAGCCATATGATTGTCGGATTTAAAATGGCCAATTTCAGTTCATCAATGCCTAGGGTATCTATCTTTATGCATCCCCTTTTATTTCTGACAACTTCCAATTTTCCTAGAGTCATACTTCAAATATTCCATGTTTGAATGTTAATAGATAATTAAAGCGTTTTCTCCTTATTTTGAGTTGTGTCCCACTAACAAATGAAAGCTTTACTCCATTCGAGTCATCACAGTCAACTTTACTTTGAGGAGGCAGCTCTTCTCAAGTCATATTTTGAGCGCCTTCCAACCTGAGGATCTTCCAGCACTCTATCTGACAATGTTCTGCTGCTTTTCATAAGGTTTTCAGTGGCTAAACATTTAGTAGTAAGTAGTCCACCTCTACTTCTTCCTAGTCTTAGTCTGGAAGTATGGCTTTCCACTACTACCTTACCCTTTCCGCTACCCTGCTGGTACAGCTTCCAGCATCACAGCAACATACAAGCCACCACATTACAACACACTGGCAGACAAGTGGTGGTTTGTAATGTTCTGCAGATTTGGAAACCCTCTTGGGCAATTCCACACTATCCTACAGGGTTGATTATGAGTTGGAATCAATTCAATGGTAATGAGTTGATTACAAAGGAATTGATTTAGTAACAATACTTTCCCCAAGAAGTAAAGCCCAGCCCAGATGGTCTCACTAAGTAAATTCTACCAAACACTTAAAGAATGATAACACCAAACCTTCACAAATCTTTCCAAAACATAGTAAGGAGGGAACACATCCTTGCTCCTTCTATGAAAGTCAGTATTATCCTGTTGCCGAAAACAGACAAAGACATCAAAATAAATCTATAGCCAACATCCCTTAAGAATTGTTATTGTTGTTAAGTGCTGTTGAGTCAGTTCTGACTCATAGTGATCCTGTATAGGGCTTACGAGTAGTGATGCAAAAATACTAGCAAATTGAGTTCAAAAATATGTAAAAAGGTTTAAAGGTATGATCAACATGATTATTCTAAGAATGCGAGATTTAGCATTTTAAAATCAATGATTGTTATACACCATGGGAAAAAAAGATAATACGATGAGGGTATGAGCAATGTGTGCTTCAAAGGTAGAATTCTAGGTTTTTCTTGCAGGTTTCTTCTCTTGTCCTTTCAGCACACTAAGTAGTATCCCACTATTACTCCCCCTTTTGAAAGTGTGCATGGAAGCAATGCACAGGCCATTCTGAGCATGTAGGATTCTGAGTCATTCAAGGCCCTCTCTATTTCATAGGATACACAACAGAGAGTAGCCTCTATTCTCAAGACCCAGACTTTCAAGTAGCGGAAATAAGTAGCAAGGAAGAAACCTCAAAGAACTCTAATGCAACAAACCCAAACACATCTGATACAGTTTCATGGACAAATTACTCGGGACACCTCTGGGAAGGTTGTGGGGAATTCACAAAAAGCAACCTAATCTTTGCTGTTACTGTTGTTAAGTGTCATCGAGTCAGTTCTTATTCACAGTGACACTATACAATTTCCAAGGAGTGGCTAATGGGTTTGAACCACTGACCTTAAGGTTAGCAGTCCAGTGCTTATCCTACAGGCCCACACCAGGACATGATAATCTTATTTATTTAATCGTTAGTATATACTGAAAACCTCAAATTGCTCAACTTCAAGAAATTCCCACTGAAAGTATTCAGGCAGCTAAGAAACTGAACTCAAACAAACCTGGTCATAATTTAAAGAAGGCAAATCCTCTCCACAGATTGTTTTCTGTTCTGAATAACATTTTTCTTGCAGTGTTTTATCTCTGGCCAAAAAGAAGCCCATCCAAGCACTAGTAGTGGAGGATGTGTGTTGGCCTGCCAAGAGTAGTCCAATAAGCATCCCTGCTATTTCATCATCTGTCAAAGGATGTCCATCTCTATGGGAGGAAGCACATCCACACATTTAACACACATTTCATGCTTAACGTTTCAATAAAGGGTCAAAATAAAAAGAATTTTTCAAAATTAATAACCTTTCCTATGTGCGTAGCACAAGTCAGAATTTCTTCCTTACAGAAGAGATAAATAGAAAATAATGAGTGTGATTACAGTATCCCTCCAATGCCAGCTTACTAGCAACATTTACACTACGACCAGTCACTGAGATTCCAGTAGTTTAAGTCTCTTCCATTTAAAAAGCCCAAAGGTCATAACTGCCAACTTGTCTTGACAATATAATTAATTTTTTTAATTGATAATATTTATCTGTGTTTTACCCCGCAATTTCCTTTTTCTGCTTAATATTTTATCTGAACAGCTCTTACTTGTATGTAGACTCTATTAAAGTTTGGAGAATGTCATCAATTTTTTCTTCTGACTGTCTGCGTTTCTGGATTGCCTTATAAAAAATGTTCTTGATCTCTCGATGAGCTATGTCTCTGCGTCTGAAATTTAAAGATAAAATAGTATTTTCTTTAAATAAGCAACAGTTTCTAGCACAGAATTAATTTTGAAAACAATCAGCACTTGGTGTAGCATTTTTGGATAAGCACTAGAATGCTAACAGGACTGACAGTTCAAACCCACCAGCTGCTCGTTGGGAACCCTATACAGGGTTGCTAATGAGTCAAAACCAGAACTTAACGACAACAATCTTACAGCAACCTTAATTAACTTTGCTGACTCAAATAACTGACAAAAACAGAGATCCAAACGAAAAAACGAAGGCATGAAAAGCTTACTGGATATTAAGAGTTTACGTAAAAATAGTTCTTTATGGGTAAAGTATGTTTTAACATGACCGATGTTTAACACACTATCTTCCAAAACTAATGGCCTAAAACAAATAAGACTCAAATGATTATTATTTTAAAAGCATTTTCCAGTTCAACAAAAAACAGAAAACCTTTAAGTTAACAGAAAATTCTAATTTTAACCAAATCAACTTCTGAAGCAGGCAAATATCTCTGGCTGTTCTATAGGGTTAAGTTTCTACTTTTCATTTTTTAAGATAACATAGTTTTGAAAAGTAAAAAATACTAGGTAAGTCAGAAAACAAGCTTCAAGTTACAAAACTATACCTTTTAAATAACAGGTGTGTTAAATGTTTTACATTATTCACTTTAACTTTTGATGAGTAAATACTATTGATTATCCCCACTAGCCAAGGAGCAATGGAACTGGAATTTAAAACCATACAGACTGATTTTAGCCTCTTAAGCCTCCTAATAAAAACTATTGCCCTGCTTCATTTTCAAGGGTGTTATTGACGAGCAACTGAAACAATAGGTACAGAAAGGAAGACGACATTGAAGCTTACTTAGCATAATGAACACAACAGAACCAGGAAAACACAAGGCCTATTTTTAAAAGTATGAAGGACTTGTGGTCAGTGGTTAAAGTGCTCAGATGCTGACCAAAAGGTCAGGGGTTCTAGCCCACCAGTCCATAGACGAGAGAGGTGGTGTCTGCTCCTATAAACATTTACAGTCTTAGAAGCCCAATGTGGCAGTTAGATTTGGTCCTATAGGATTATGATGGGCTAGAATCAACTTGACAGCAATGGACTTAGTGTTTTTGTTTTTTTAATTGAAAACAGTATAAATAATAATCTAGTTAAATCTGTTTGTTTAAGTAAATTGAGAACTGAGCTGGAGTGTGACAGGCCCTCTCATACCAAGCTCAGGAATTATGACTTCATTTAGAATTTTGGGCATGGAGAATTAAGCATAAAGTATATTTGCGGAGAACTCATTATGGACAAAACACTGTGCTGGGTGTTGTAACATAGTATGTACAAGGGTGGCCTCAAGTGGAATTAAATAATAATGGAATTTTTCCACAAATTTTTTTTAAGTTCCATGTATGAAAGCAGTTTGGAACCTGCAAATCTCCTTACAAATAAAGGATGTTATGAATTCCAGAAAACTCTATGTAACGTCTCCTGACTCCTCCTTTAACTCACAATCCTTATTCTGACATCAAGACAGACGTAGCAAAACAGAAGAGAAAGGGGGTACCAATATCATTTCTCTCCATGAATCAACAGAGGTACAGAAAGCCTATGTAAGGCACTAAGCTACATGTGAACCCTTATAAGTAATTAAGTCTTTGAATTAGAGTGTTATGCCCAGAATTCGGAGTCCCCAAAGACCACCCAGGAGCCGTGTACCGATGCAAATACATAAGGGTTGTTTATTCAAGCTCGAGCCAGGTCTCTAACCTTATCCGACACTTCGGAATAGGGACCGAGCCCCGAATTCATTGTCTGCAGGGTTTTTATAGAGTTTTCAAACAGCTCAGGTTTCTCAGCTTTACAATCTTTGGATTGGTTAACAATTGGCAAACTATAAGATGTTACAGTTTAATTGGTCAGGACTGGTGGTCTTTGTTCTTAAGCTAGGGTAAAGGAAAACATCTGGTTTCTGGCCTTGAGCTGCCTTGGCTATTTATACATGTATCATTTTTTTTTTGGAGCTAGAGGACGTGTTCAGGCTAATGTACAGAATGGAGATTGACCTTGTTTCTAGAGGGAACTAAAAACTGAGGCCTTGTCTATTTAAAATGCTTTCCTGAGCCTGACTAGAGTTTAGTCAAGCAGTCTCTAGGTAGGCAAAATCAGGTAAAATCAGTTTGGACCTTACATAGACTAGCTCAGCCCTTCAAGAAATCACAGTACAGTCAGCAAAGACTCAACTGGAAAAGCAAATATAGGACTAATACTTCAAAACAAACAAACTTCATAATATAGTGCAAAACAGTCCAGAACTATTTCCAACAAATGCTTAGGAGGGCTGCGCTACTTTTAGATAAGGGCAAGAGGATTTAGTAAGTACAAGGGATATATAAGTAGGTTTTAAAATATTAAATAGGTGGGTAACAAATCACCTTATTAAACTGAAACCAATCTTAAATGAGCTAATTACATAAAGAAAAACTGCAATGAATTCTTCTATGATATGGGTTCACAGTCACTCCCAATTCGATTATTAGTTTAATTTTTTAATTAAGCAAAGCACACCAACACTACAGTAATTATACAAAGTTAAATAACCGAGAATAAAATCTTGATTTGTTAATAAGTTTCATACCTGAAACTTGGCAAAGGTAGCCAACCAGGCAGTAGCCAGGCTGCATGGCTAAAACCTCCATCCAAATCTGCATACAGCTGTGCCACCTTCTCATTGAGTTGACTTCTGATTTCCTTTCCATGTAAACAATGGCTAGCTGTTAAAATGATTAGCTCAGAAAGAGCTTCAAACAAATCTAGAGGGGAAAAGGTCATTCCCATTATTGTTCAGAAAAGTCTTTTAAGATATTACCTTATTATCATTATAAAGGCATTAAGAAAGAAAATCAAAACCAAAGCTTAACTTGAACCAGCAAATATCCTATTCACATAACTTGCCCCCTGCCAAAAAAAAAAAAAAAAATTAGACATATATATATATATATATATATATATATATACAGCACAACACTGAAGAAAGAGGCAATCACCAAACAACAGGAAGTACGCCACTCCTCTGGGAGGCCATGCTCTAGGAAACCAATCTAACTTAAAAAGACAAAAATGAATGTGGCTATTTGATTACGAGGCCAAAGGATATCAACAACTGCAAAAAGGAGAAATTGCAATGGACTAGCTGCTAGAAGCAGGTTTAATAACAACTTTATCTCTGCACAGCCTGGTGCAGATAAAATGAAGCAAGGCCTCAAAATGTTAAAAGTCTAAGGCTATTTAATGCATATGACAGCAATAATGAAGTATATACTAAGGAATGGAGGCCCAAAATTAAAGACAGGATGATCTCCCAGGACAAAGGCAGGATGATCAGGATTAAAAATTGAAATATCGACCATATATAAAAGAAAACTAACTTATCACCCTTCTGGTGTTTCCCAGTAGAGGGAGATGCATTAGACAAGGACGACACTTAAAAGTCATAGAAATCATCTAATTTGGTGCTTTAATTTCATACTCGTCCAATCCCCTTCTAATTATCATATGGGTTTCCAATTAAATCTTCCGGTAAATACAACTGGAAAGTATCATATTTTTTATGTACAAGTATATCTCACTTGTATTTATTAAACTGGCATTGTAGTTAACACAAGGGTAAGTTAAAAGCATTACAACAAAATCAAAGAAACCTTTATTAAACAAAAATATCAAAATCTGAAGCTATTGTTTCTGGATAAATCCTCCATCTAGGTCTACACACTTCTGAAAGTGTTATTATTTCCATCCTCTAGCCCTTCCGTAAGGAGCTCTGGTAGTGTAGTGGTTACAAGTAGGCTGCTAACCTGCAGGACAGCAGTTCGAAGCTACCAGCAGTTCCGTGTGAGAAAGATGAGGCTTTCTGCTCCCGTAAAGATTTACAGCCTCAGAAACCCTGTGCCAGGTCACTATGAGTCGGAACCGACTTGCCGGCACTTCACCACCACAAGCTCTTCCACAAAGAATTCTGTACTCTTTAATTAACACCACATCAAAATGGTAGTTCTGGCATCCTCCAACAACTCATATTGTTTTTTTCAAAATGGTCTTTGAGTTTGGGGAACAGGAAGAAGTCTGAAGGGCAACATCAGGGATGCAGGATAGATGAGGTAAAGTTTTCCAACAAATTCTCATAGGACAGCCCTGCCACATCATGCACTGCCATGATGGAAGGACATTCTTAGGCACAACTTTCCAATTTCCTGGCCTTTCCCCTCACTGATGATGAAAACTTCTTCATAAAAAGCCCCTAATGGTCCTGTATCTTTTGAGAAAAGTTATCACCATTTTGGGATCCCACTCAGTTACCATAACCTTCTGAACTGACCTCTCTGACTTGAATTTAACAGGCCAGCAGATCTCCTAGGAAACCATTTTTTTTTTTTTTTTAAGGCACCCTAATCAGATTAAGACAAATGTATTACTGAGAGAATGTATCTGTAGCCATTCACTAATCAGAGACGTACCTAAACATGTTTTGTTTCGTAAAATCAGTGCATGTATGAACTGGAACCCTAGTAGCAGAACTTTTGACTAAAACTCTTACGTGATTAGAAATGTATTATATCAATTTTGGTTTTGGTGCTGGTGTGTGTCATCAAGTTGATTCCAACTCATAGGGAAACAGTAAAGAGTTTCTGAGAAACTGTCGACCTTGTGGTTACCAGTCAAGTGCTTAACCTACAGAGTCATACCACGTTTCTGTACCTTTTACAAAATCTGAAGATCAGACTCAGAATGTGGTAGTCTACACAGGTCTGCCCTATGAGCAGATGTTGCTTCCCACTGTGAGCATGACAACTGTCTCTGAAATCAACACTTAACTGCAGTCCAATCAACAGACTGGATTCACAGTACAACCACATTCACTTGTAAACTGAATGTCAAGTCACATCCAAGATACTCTATGTATAATACAAGAAAGAAGGTATGCAATAGAGATCTTTAAAAGATACCCATTGGAAATGACTAAAATCAAAGTTTTGGTAGTAGTGCAATCTTATGTTATTTAAATTTCTTTTTTACATGGAATTAATTCATTCCCATGTAATATCAAATAACTTAGGAATTACATACATAATAAACTGTCAGGAATTTTACTTGCATACTGATTTTAAGTCAGGATTCTAGCCTCAAGGTCAGCAGTTCGAAACTACTAGCCATTTTGCAGGAGAAAGATAAGGCTTTTTGCTCCCTTAAAGATTTTACAGCCTAGGAAACCCTATATAGGGTTGCTAGGAGTTGGAACCAACTCCATGGCACACAAGTGCCACCACTAATTATATATTAAAGTGTTAAAGTGACCTGACACCAATCTTCATATTCAGCTTATTTTAAATTTTACTCATGAAATATTTTTATATTACAGATGAGCTGAATTATATGCATGTTAAAATATTTTAGGGTTTAAGTGAGCAGGAATAATCACTTCCTTTCAGGGTTTTCCCCTAGTATTATAACATGTTCCTTTCACTATATCCAAAGAGACATTATATACATTGCATTTTATACAAACACACACTTAAAAGAAAAGTGGAAATATTAAAATGTAAAACTTTTTTTCCTTCACTTACTTTTTTCTCCACTTTCTCCCCAACTTTCAAAGTATTCCTTTGTTTCTTTTTCAATTATAGAAACATGCTGTCTAAAATGAGCTATGTTGAGGCCACTTTTTAACAGTCTCTTCTGCTCCAAGAAAACCTTAAAAAAATCAAGGATATGTATCATTACAATACATCTAAGGTCTATTTGGATTATTATGTAATAATTATTATGCAATAATATTCTATAACTATGTAACTCTTAAAACAAAAAACTTACTGAGTAACTTAAAAAAAAAAAAAATCAAAGCTCTGTCAAAAGTACATCAGAATGGGAAACTTATACCCTGTATGCACATATCTGAGTAAGATCTAGAAGGCACCTGCTACCAGGGCCCTACACAAACAATAAATGAAAAATCCCAGCTGCTGTCTTCCTCCCTAGGTACACTTTCCCCCACTCCGGCTCCAGGACTCTTTTCTTATTCTGTTTATTCTGTCTTTCAACCCAAACAAATGAGCAACTCTTTCACCCAAAGGTCCATTATGTTTCAATATTATTTTATACTCCTTCACATATTCTCCCATTCTATTCCCAAATAAACAACACTCTTCACTGACACTACATTCAGTTCAACAGTGTGAAGAGCATAAATTCACACTAAGACAATGGTTTTAACCTTTTCAGGCATCTATATTTTAAGATGTGAATATACTGTGTGAATAAATGGATATTTGAGCTGAGGGATTTTCTAAGCTCCTTGTTTGTACTTAAGGAAAACCACTTCTCTACCTTTCCCCCATCCCGAGATTATACACTTAATGTCAACCTGTGACTCTGACTCTAGTGTACAGGGTAATATGTATAAATTCACTTTCAGAGTCTACACTGCATTTTTTTATAAAGAGTACTAAAGCCTGGACTCCTTAACTCAAAACAGTTCTTATGTTAGAATTTCAGGCAGGACTAGATAGGTAGGCAACCCTTTCGACAGAATGACAGGATTTTCTAGGTACTCACTCAAAGCAAATTCCAGTATGCTCAGTTACCATTTATTCTATTTATTTGTATAGAAAACCTTTTATAACTAGTAGCCCTCCAAGCCCGCCATTATATATTAAAAAAATTCTAATCCTTATCAGCTATCCATGGCTTTTCCATTTTTAAATTTCTCATGACTATTCAAATATTTAAACCAAGGAATATATTGTTTCTACATTCTAAATGTGTAGTATTTTACTACAGCTATATAGATTTGTCTTTCTTCAACAGTATCACCTACTGGATTAGGCACATCATACGCAACTCCCTTTCCAAACACAGGTGTCGTCAGTCGACTGTAGACATCTTCTGCATTCAGATCTTCATTTTTACTATTAAAAAACAGTGCAGCAGCCTCACTCCCCAGAAGGTAAGTAAAAGTCTTGCCAACCATGGTGAAACTAAATACAGGTCCATACTAAAAAGAGAAAAATAGCCATAGTGATGTCACCAAAAAACACACAGCCCCAAGGGCCTACAGCTTTTTAAAACACAAGATCCTGTATGTGTGTGTGTTTAAATAAAACAGTCAAACGCTTCTGTGATTCTTTTCATTTGCCATACTCCTCCCTCCCTAGTCTTTGTCCAAATCTATAATTACAAGGGTGCTCCACAAAGTTCATGAAAAAAATGGAATTAAAATTTTCCATTAACTTTTTGAAGTCCCCCCTTATGTTCATCCAGTTGTATATGTAGAGCAATTTTGTCTGTGTGTTTTTCACTGTTTGTATTGAAAATATTTTCTATCTTTTGCATAAATATCAGCATGTACTTGTGGCTAACTTGTCAGTTTTTTCACTTATTTAAGATAATTCTAGAGGAACTTCAGTGGTATCCTAGGTTACACATTGGGCTGCTAACTGAAAGGCCAGCAGTTCAAATCCACCACCCACTCTGAGTAAGAAAGATGAGGCTTTCTGTGTCTGTGAAGATTTACAGCCTAGGAAAGCCTACACAGGGTGGCTATGAGTTGGAAATGATTCGAAGGCATGTAGCAACAACATAGATTCTCCAATGATTATCTCCAAGAATATACAATCTTTTCTTTATTCATAAATAAACTCACAGCAGTAACTAAAAGAAATGACAATTTTTATAGTGCTTGCTACATGAGAACACCAGACATTTATTTATTGTCACAGTTTTACCATAGTATCACCAACACTGAATGACTTCATTTCTTATATTTGAAAATGTGGTTAGGCATAAAGTTCTACGCATGCAGTTATCTGATTATTACTAAAGATTAACTATGCTAAGTAGGTTCTGGGGATACAATAGTGGGCAAAATCACTGTCCCTGGCTCATGAAGCTTAGTCTAGTCGAAAAGATCCAAATTAATCAAATAGTCACAAAACTATTAAGTCCATCATGACTCTAAATGCTCCTACAGGGCACAGTACATCTGCCACTCTGAAATTCCTAATCTGAAACCTCGCCAGGAGCACATCACCACGTCTTTTCACCTACGGACCCACTGACAGATTTGATTACCAACCTTCTGGTTAAGAACAGAGAGCTTAACCATTGCACCATCAGCACTCCACAAATGTGAAATTACAAGTGTGACAGGAATTACACCCAAAGGGCAAATCTGTGATGATGAAAGATTTTGTGAGAGAGAGAGAGATCTAAACTAAAACCGGAAAGATGAGCAGCAGGAAATAGTTTGATGGCCAAGCATGCACAAAGGTCCTAAAGGTGAGAGGCGTAGAGGAGGCGATGAGTATTGAGAGGCAGACTACGCAGAGTTTATGGAGCGTATTAAAAAATTGTTCTTTGCAAAGTCAACACTACCCAAAGCAATCTATAGATATACTACGCACTCCCAACCCAGATTCCAACATCATTCTATCAAGAGATGTCAAAACTAACTTTATATGGAAAGAAAAGAGACCTCAGATAATCAAAGCAATGCTTAAGAAGAACAAAGGTGGAGGCCTCTCACTCCTTGATCTTAAAATTTACTACAGAGCCATAGTGGCCAAAACAGCCTTGTACTGGTACAATGAAAGATACCTATATCAGTGGAACAGAATTAAGAACCCAGAAGTAAATTCATCCAGTCAGCTGATCTTTGCCAAAGGGCCAAAAGCTATTAAATAGGGAAGACATAGTCTCTCCAACAAACAGTACTGGCAAAACTGGAAATCTACTTGAAGAAAAATGAAACAAGATCCATATCTCACATCATATACAAAAGCAAACTCAATGTGAATTAAAGACCTAGATGTAAAACCTAGAACTATAAATATCATCAGTGACAACACAGGGACAAACTTAGGGACTCTAATACATGGCATCAACACATTATCAAACATTACTAAAAACACAAATAGTGAAAGACAAAACAGATGACTGGAACCTCCTAAAAATCAGGCATCAAAAGTTTTCACCAAAAGAGTAAAAATGTAGCTCACACACTGAAAAAAATATTTTTGCAACGGTATTTTCAAACAAGAGATTGGTCTCTAAAATTTATAGAAAGCTACAACACCTCTGCAAGAAAAAAATATATACTCATATATATTTACATATCCCATATGAGTTTACCTTTTCTGCAAACAACCACTATGAATGTGGAGGAGCATACAAGCAGGCAAAATGATGCAACGTCTTAGATCTTATCAAACATCTTAAGACAATGAGTTGCTGGGTCTGGGGCCTCAGGACCATAATATCACGGCATAACATAGTTCACAGACAATGTTCTAGATCCTAATTTGGTGAATATTGTATGGGATCATGAAAGCTCATGAGCAGTCATCTAAGGTATAGTCACTGGTCTCTCTATGTGCGGAAGAAAGAAGAGTGCTAAGAACTGATAAAGTTTGGAATCAGTTAGTCCAATAGACTAATGTAACATGTGAGATCAGAGAATTAGATGGTTCCTGGTTACCATTATCAATTGCTCTGAAAGAGATCACATTAGAAGGTCCCAGACAGAATAGTAGAATATATGGAGCAAAACTCAAAATTATTAAAAAAAAAAAAAAGATCCGCTAACTGGTAAGAGACTGAAGGAACCTGAAACTATGGTCTTCAACCATACTTTATGTCTAGAAAGGAACTCACACTCGTGACCCAACTTTCAGCCATACAGTCAGTTCTGACTCATATCAACCCTATATAGGGTTTCCGAGGAGCGGCTGGTAAGTTTGAACTACCAACCTTATGGTGCAAACTGACCTTGAGATTAAGTACTTATCCTACGGTGTTACATTAGGAATCCAGATAGGTATATATGGGGGACAACAACACTAGTAAGGCATGCTCACTATGAATGATGGAATGGTTAATCATTCAAAATGAAAAATGGAATATTTACCTGAGGACAAAGTTGTGAAGGAATAGGAAAGTGGGTAGAATGAAAACAGGAACCATAGGGATGAAGCAGGATAAATGTTTATGTATGGAGTAGATTACAGTCATTGAGATGATACAAGGTATATGATTTGCTGAAAATTGATAATCTTGTCTGTCTATAAATGTTCACTCAATTCACAATCAAGTTGTTTTTTAATTACAGACATATATTTTCATTTTTCATTTTAAAATATATCAAGCATATTGAAAAGCACAGAGAAAAACAATATAGGCCTAATTATCTAATTATATTACCATATTTATATTAGGTACTTTTCAAAAATTATAATTTTGCCCTTTATTTATAAGTTGTAATCTTTCATTTGTTGTGTGTGGTGTACACAGTATTTTAAAAGAAAAGAAAAAAATTTTTTATTTGCACACTTCCTCTTTTCTTTTTTCATAGTCAGTGTCTTTTTACCCCAGGGAAACTACAACATTGAACTTGGTATGTATTACTGTCTTGTGTTTCACTATTTCCAGCCTGATTTTCTCAATACACAATGTTACTATAATAGATTTTTTTTAAAAAAAGACAACACTTTCCTTGGAAGCAAGGTTAAGCCACTGAATTTTATAGAGTATAAACGTGTATGGAGAAGACATTAATCTAGGTGTATTTAGAAGAAAATCCCTGTCCCTGTCTGCTATGTGGAGAGGTTAGAAGAACAGAAGGCCAAAGGAACATCGGAGAACCAGTTAGAACCTACTGCAGAAACCTAATGAACGCCTGGTACAAGGTAATGGCAGAGTGGGGAAAGCAGAAGCAGATTCTAAAATGGTTTGAAGACAGAATCTGGAGACTTGGCCATGGCTTGATAATGATGAGAAAGGAGGAAGCATCAAGAATGAATCTTAGGTTCCTGGTGCTTTGCCAAACTGGATGAATAGCAGTAGCATTCAATGAGAGAGGCAGAGAATGGCCCAGGACAATGAGAATTGGGGAGAGAAAAATGAGGAAAGAATCCACACATTGGAGACTCTGATTTGGACTTTGATCCCCACAACTGTGAAACACGACGTCCCTGCTCTTTACAGTCACCCACTTGTGAGATGTGTTACAGTGGCTCTAGGAGAAGACAAGACACTTCTGAAAGGAAAGTGAAAACTACTTTTCTACATTAGTACTTACCTTCTCATATGCATTCTCTAGGAATTCAATTGGACTTTTCCCAAATGCTATTGCATGTCCAAGGAATGGAACTGGAGAGGAAATGTATGGTGGACTTTTCTGCAAGACAAAACAAAAAAATTGTCAGTTTTCATTTAGTTCTAAGAGAGAAATCCAACACATTTGAAATGAAATTGGCCGTTAAAACTAAAGTTACCAAAAGACAAAAAAAGCAAACATAATTTAAAAATAGCACAATTGCAAATATCTTGAGAGTTGTTGTTAAGTGCCATCAAGTCGGTTCCAACTCATAGTGGCCTTGTATAATTACTGAGGAGCAGCTGGTGGGTTTGAACCACAGACCCTGTAGTTAGCACTCTTGTCCTTATCCTATAGTGTCACATCAGCAATAGTAAAAAGAAAAGAAAGAAACTCAAAACAAGGTATAGGATAAACAACTAGACAAATATGAAACTACACAAATAAACAACTAGGTAAAATATTAGCCATGCCCAATGTTACGGATGGCTATTAGCAACTTCTCTAACAATCAGGAGCAAAAACCAAGAATATAAAACTAGTTTTTTTACCAGTGGTTTCTACTACTCCTTACAATTTTAGTCCCCAAATCTTGCCTAAAAAAGTACAGATAAAGAAAAATAAACAAGGGAAGATGTTTAAAAAGCTACATTTATCAGTAGACAAAAGACATCTCATGCTTCTCTCACTGTAAAGGAACAAGATCCTCTGATTTTAAATAGAAGTGAGAGCATAGACCAGCTCTAACAGGAACTCTCCAGTACTCACCAGAAAATGTATTTTAGATGTCCCAAAATGAGACTGGCAGATTGCAACATTTAGTCTCCTGGAAATCAAACTTGTAATGATGAAAAGGGATAATAGTCCTCAGGTCTTTGGTGGTCTCAAATAGAAAAGGAGTACCACATACTCTTACAGTACGCCTCAGAAAACACTAATGATCTTAAACCACTAAAGCATAAAGGCAAATGACCATCTCATCAAAAATGCCATGTTTAGGAAAAATACGTTTGTCTTATGCCTGTTATGTCCAAACAAAAATTATTAAAGAGGTTTTGGTCAGTATTTGTAGATTCCACTGTCAGCAAAAGAGTTTTTGTTTTTTTTTAATTGACTGATGAAGGATGCGTTCATCAAATAAATATATTTGGGGGGATATAAAGCTAATGGTCAATACAGGTTCTTAAGTTAGAGAAACTATTTTATTAGCATCATAAGAAGGCCCCCACAACACTCAGTCACTCCCATTCTATCAAACTAAACACATCCCCCTTAATACTGATAAAAATCGCCATCAAGGGCAAGGCTACAGCCCATAAGACACTGAACCACACAAGGGCAGCCACCAGGATGATGGCCACCAGGGCCACAGCTGTCAAGAGCACCGCCACGAGGACGCTCACCAAGGCCCCCAGCGCCACGACGGCCGCCAGCACGGCCACCAAGGCGCTCAGTGCAACAGCCAGGGCGACGGCCGCCAGTGCCACCAAGGCCACTACAGCAACCAGTGCCACGGCCAGCGCAGCCATCACCACGACCACCACGGCCGCCAGCACGACCCCGGCCAAGACCAGGCACGAGGCCAGCACTGCTAGCACAACCACCAGGATCGCAGTCACCAGCACGGCCCCCAGCATGAAAGCCATCAAAGCCAAGGTAGCCGCTGCCGCCAACGCCACGAGCAGCAGCGCGGCAGCCACGATCACCATCCCGGCCCCCAGCACGCCCGCGACCACAACTCCTCCTAGAACGGCCGCGGCCACAGCCGCCAGCGCCGCGGCCACAACCAGGGCCAGGGCCATGAGCACCAACGCCAGCCCGAGCCCCGCCAGTGCTGCCAGGGTACCTGTAAGCGCCGTGGCCGCCGCCCCCACCAGCCCTTCGGCCGCCTTGACCACTGCACCCCACCCTCGGGGCCCCGGGGGTACACGTACCGCCCCGGCCGGCAGCTGGGCCAGGTGGCCGACAGCGAGGCGGAGCAGGTAGACCAGACTGAGGGTGAAGGTGCAGGCGATCAGCAGCGTGGACAGGAGGCTGCCGCCTGTCACCTGCTCCATCGCCTGCCCCAGCACCGACCCGCCCGCGTGCAGCAGGCCCAGCAATGCCATCCCGGCCGCCGCCGTCGGAGACGCTGGAGGCCAAGGTCACCTCCACTCCTCAGATTCGATGGAGTGCTAGAAGCCAGCAGACTGGCGACAGGAGGCGGCCCCGGCCCCCAGGTCTCCTTCTAAACCCCAACCCCACCCACACCCCCGTCTCCCGCGCACACCACCAGCACGTCACAAAGGGGAGGGTTGTCTCCTGGCCACGCCTCTAGCAGATCAACACCAAGTATCCTTGCGCCGGGAGAAAGAACTTTTGAGAACGGGTTGTGCCTAAGGCAAAGGTGGCACAGGGAGGACAGATAACAGGAGCCCGTAGGGGAATCACCGCTTGAGAATCTCTGGCCGCCCGAGCCTAAGTGCATTGGGTGCAGGGCGTCAGGACACAGGACCGCAGGAGTTGGCGGAGGGATCTCAAGACGAAGGTATCAGTGCGCTTTGTGATTGCACTGCGTAAAACTGAGGTGATCTCGGCCTATGTCACGTCAGCACGGCTGGTGGCGTGAGTACCGCCTCCAGCGCCTGAGTCGCTGCGGAGGGCCACGAGGTAGCTCTAAATGTGCCCTCCGAGTTTAGGTTTGCGCCACACCGATAGGCGGGACGGTTCCCGTACCGCCCCAACTCAAAGCAGTTTGACAGGCATTCATATATAGTTATAATGTTATTTATGTTGCATTGTGCAGAAAGAACTTTTCCAAAATAGACTTAGCTATTAAAGGATGTCGTGAGCTATTTGAGGCAATAGTCTCCAAGAAGATCACTAGTTCTGGGGGGCTTAGAAATCAAAACTTTTTAAGCGGGAGTTCAATCCCGCAGCCACAATCAACCTTTTTATGTCCTCCAGCCCTGGGCTTTCCTAGGAAGCAATTATACAATGACTACCAAATTTAATCCTTTTCTCATTCTTACCCACTGCTAAACAGATTATTGATTCAACCAACAGTTGAGAGCCAGGTAGTTTGGTGGGCACTGAGAATCCAGCAGTGAATGGAAGAAATTGCAAGGCCCTTGGAGAACTGCCTGCTAAACACATCTACTTGGAAGACCCAACATGCTTCGATGTTGTTGTTGTTAAATGCCATCGAGTCGGTACCGACCCATAGCAACCCTGTATAGGGTTTCCAAAGAGCAGCTGGTGAGCTTGAACCATCAACCTTGCAGTTCAAATGACTTTGCGTTCTGATGCATTAGGCCGCAGCACCACACCAGGACAGGAGCTCTGGTAGCGTAGTGGTTACGAATCTGGGCTGCTAACCTCAGGATCAGCAGTTTGAAACTACCAGCCGCTCCGTGGGAGAAAGATGAGGCTTTCTGCTCCGTAAAGATTTACAGCCTTGGAAACCCTGTACAGGGTCGCTATGAGTTAGAACCGACTCCATGGCACATCACCACCACACCCGCACTCCAACATGCATCCATAGTAAATCCCAAATTAAACTCATTATCTCCTCTGCTCTTCCTGTAATCCCTATCTATAGGGGGTGCCCCACTACCACCTGGTATTCATATATGGTCATAATGCCTCCTCCTTTATGCCTCACATCGAGGTAGTCATCAGAAAAGAGTTGCTTTTACATTCATGGCAACCCTTGTGTTGTTGTTAAGTGCCATCCAGTCTGTTCCAACCAATAACCACCCTGTATATGGTTTCTGGTGTGGCTCTGTGGATTCATGCGCTGGGCTGCAAACTGGTCTGCCTACTTTCAGGCTTATCTTTAACCTATTTCCCAGACTACTGCCACTTCTTGAATCACACTGAAGCTATCCTGTAATTGTGTCCACAGGTTTCTCCTATAAGAAGATGCGATTCTTGAGAATAGACATGTCTTAGGTGGTTAGTTTTGTTTTTTGTTGTTTTAACTTCTTGTTGTGAATTAAGTGAAGGATTACAAAGCAGATTATCAGTTTTATATTCAACAAATCATATACTCTGCTTCATTATAATGATTGCAATTACCTACATGTGTCATCAGTTACCAGTATTTACCTCTATTCAGTTTAACTGTTGTTTTCCGTTGCCTTCATCTTTCCTGTGCCTACCTCTCTCCTTTTGTTTTTGTCTTCCCCATCACCTCTAGCCTGTGAATAAGTTTCTTTTCTCTCACCCCTAACCATCATAGAATGTTTCTTTTATCAAGAAAACCTCTTCTTGACTTTGTGTAACAGAAGTCACATACAATATTTGTCCTTTTGTGTTTAATTTAACTCAGCACAATGTCCTTCTTGTTCATCCATGTTGAGAAGGGTTTTGCAAATTTATAGTTTTTCTTTACCATTGCATAGTATTCCATTGTATATATGAACCAAAGTTTAACCATTTTTCTGTTGATGAGCATTTAGGCTGTCTCCATCCTTTTGATGTGTCTCTTGTAGATGGCATACTGAAGGATCCTCTTTTCTTATCCATTCTGACACTCTCAGTCTCTTGACTGGTGCATTTAATCCATTTACATTCAGTGTAATTATCGATAGATATGAATTGATTGCTGTCATTTTGTTGTGTGATTTTTTTCCTGTGGTGCTGCTAGTTTCTTTATAACATATAATTTTCTACACTGATTTAATTTTTTTTAATTTGTGGGTTTTCTGTTTATTTTCATTTCTGTTGTATTAATGTTTACTAAATCTTTCTGGTTTTCCTCTTTTATTTTAAAGTAAAGGTATGTTAATTTTCACTACAGTTGCCCTGTGACTTATTAATTTTTCACTGTTTAAAGCCATTTGTTTGATTCTAAAATCTAGTTAATTTCCTCTCCATTTAGAAGATCTGTGTCTACACTGTTATCTGTTTTTGCTTTTAGTTGATATCATTATAAATTGATATTTCTGGTTCCCTCTTTTTAGTCTTATAGTTTTGTTTTCAGAAGGGGATTTGGAATTAGGGATTTCATTGCTGATGTTAGATGGAATTTGGCTGAAAGCAGAGAATACCAGAAAGATATTTACTTATGTTTTATTGACTATGCAAAGGCTTTTGCCTGTGTGGATCATGACAAGCTATGGACAGCATTGCAAAATAACTTCATTGTGCTCATAAGGAACCTGCACATAGACCAAGAGAAACGCTTTAAAACAGAACAAGGGATAGTGAATGATTTAAAATCAGGGAAGATATGTGCCAAGGCTGTGTTCTTTCAGCATATTCATTCAATCTGTATGCTGAGCAAATAATCCAAGAACCTGGACTGGAGGAAGACTCATTAACAACCTATGATATGCAGATGACATAATCTTGCTTGTTGGAAGAAAAAAGGATTTAAAATACTGGTGAAGATCAAAGACTACAGACTTCAGTATGAATTGCACCTCAATATAAAGAAAACAAAAATCCTAAAAACTGGACCAATAAATAGCATGTTAAATTGAAAGAAGATTGAAGTTATCAAAGGCTTCATTTTGCTTGGATCCACAATCAATGCTCATGGAAACAGCAGTCAAGAAATCCACAACATATTGCATTAGACAAATCTGTGCATAAAACCTCTTTAAAGTGTTGAAGAGCAAAGATCATCAGTTCAAGGACTAAGGTGCATCTGACTCAAGCCATGGTATTTTCAATAACTTGATATACATGTGAAAGTTGGACAATGAATAAAGAAGATGGTAGAAGAATTGATGCATTTGAATTATGATGATAGAGAAGAATATTGAAATTACCATGGACTGCCAGACAAACAAACAAATCTATGTTGGAAGAAGTATATATAGAGAGAATACTACTTAGACATCAGGATAACAATGTTTCATCTCTCACTCTACTGACCTGTTATCAGGAGTGACTGGTCCCTAGAGAAGGACATCTCACTTGGTAAAATGGAGGGTCAGCAAAAAGAGGAAGACCCCCAATGAGATGGATTGGCACAGAGGCAGCAGCAATGGGCTCAAGTGTAACAATGATAGTGGTGCTGTGCTGGGCAGTATTTCATTCTGTTGTACATAGGGTAGCTATGACTTGGAACCAACTCAGTGACACCTAACAACAACAGGTTTGTTTTACTTTAAATACTTTTTATACTTATTTTACTTTAAATACTTAATATGTGGATTGAGTTCTGGATGGAGTTGTTATATATTAATCTCAGGTTGTTGTCTGCTGTTGTTGGCTCTCATTCCAAAGGACATTCTTTAGTATTTTTGGTAACCTTGTTCTGGTTATTAAAAATTTATGTTTATCTGGACATGTTCTGATGATTCTTGGTAATATCTTTCTTTCAGAGTCTTGTATGTATTAGTATGTCATTGCCTCCTGTACTGCATGCTTGAGAAATCAAATTTTAATCTTATTGGTTCTTCTTTGTAGGTAGATTTTCAATTTTCCTGAGCTGTTTTCAGGATTCTTTCCTTGTCTTTGGGTTTGAAAGTTTGATTATGATATGTCTTGCTGATTTTGGGGAGGGGTTCTATCCTTGGTTGGGGTTTATTCAGCTTCTTGTATGCTTATCTTTTCATCTTTCATGTTAGGGAAGTTTTCTTCCACAACTCTTCTACAATTTTCTCTGCATTTTTAGTCCCTTCCTGTTCTGGAATTCCAATTACTCATAAATTATTTGTCCTGATATCCCATATAACTTTTAGTCTTTCTTTGGATTTTTTCATTCTTCTGATTGTTCTTCTAACATACTAGTATTAAGAGATTTATCTTCAACCTCACTAATTCAGGCTTCCTTTGCTTCACATCTACGCCTCTGCCCGTTCAACGTATTACATTTCTGAAATCTTAGTATTAGTTTTCTGGATTTCTAATTGCAGGTTTTGTATTGTTTCAAAATTTGCATTTATTTTGTCTGTTCTTGTAATGTTTTCCTGAATTCTTCTAAAGTTTTTTCTGTGTTCTTTTTGCTTTCCTCGATCTTTCTGTTAGTCCTTTGTTGTTGTTGTTGTTAAGTGCCATCAAGTCGATTCTGACCCATAGCAACCATGTATAGGGTTTCCAAGGAGCAGCTGGTGAGCTTGAACCACCGACCTTGCAGTCAAACCACTTTGCAGTCTGGTGCATTAGCCCACAGTGACACACCAGGACTCCAGTAGTTTGAAGGTGCCTAAATATCATTCTTTTGAATTCTTTTTTCATTTAGTTCCAAAATCTTGTCTTCCTGAGAAACATTTTCTGTCTCTGCCTCTTGGTTGTTTATTTCTTCATGTAAGCTAAAATTGCCTGTAGTCTCCCGGACATTGTAGTGT